GATGGTAGTTTTTTAAAAAGGTTTCAAATAATCCTATATTGGACAAAGAAATTTTGACTTTTTGAGCTTAGCGAGAGGTCACAGGACGTGGGGTTTTTAAAATAAAAAAAATAATGTTCACACACATTATTACATAAGTACCTGGAGGACCGAGCTTCGCTCGGTATTTTTTGGTGAATCGTGTATTTTGGAAATAAAAAAAATAAAAAATAAAGAAAATGTTGTGGTATAGGAAAAAAAGTAAAAAAAATAAGTGTGTAAATGATCGTGATAAGAACCGCGACCGTCTGTTTTGGGGCCGCCCGATTACCGACGAGCTATTGCAACATTTTTTTTGCGGCGAAATTTACCGTCATATTCGAATGATATTTTTCATTCCCTGAAAACAGGGATAAAAGGACATTTTCTAAAAATGAAACCTAGCTAGATGGTTCTTCGCCCGCGAATCTACGCACATACTAAATTTCATGTGCATTTCATAAATGCCGCTGGAGCCGTTTCCCAGAGTCCGATTATATACAGCGTGTCGTTACCATCGCGACAATAAATGAACACACGTCTAACGCTACTTGCCAATAATCATAAAAAATATTAACGTTAAATAAAATCCATAATTAAAAAAAAATATTTTTCAAACAAACTAATTAAGTAAAAAAGATAAAAAATTTGTAACATCCCATACAATTCACGCCACAGCGTCGCATTACAAGCCTCTCCTTCTAACAGCATGTTTTGTCTCTTTTAAATTCATTCAACCCATTCATATGCTTTGTGACCTTTAGTAATGAATTTTACGTTATAGTTTTATACGTAAGGGTGTTCTAAAATTCTTTGTTTTGGAAAATTTAATAACTCTGTAAATATCGATTTTTAAAGAACTTAAATGTTTAATACAACTTTAAAAAGTTATCCCCTATATGTGTGTTCATTTATTGTCGCGATGGTAACGACACGCTGTGTATATATATATATATATATATATATATATATATATATATATATATACAAGAATTACTCGTTTAAAGGATAAGATAAATATAAAAATAAAATTCTCTGCGATGAAGGCTAAGTAGCTACCCTCCGCGGTATTAAAGACACGATTTAATTCTTAATATATAACACTATTTCGCCGCTGCATACACAGTTATAAATAGCCGCTGTTGCCGATGCCATAAACGAGCGTAGATGCTTATGATTCTTGTGGGCTATTGCGTAACCACAAAACAAAAACAGGGAATAAACTTGTTTACTCGTTTATTCTTTTTTCACTCATTATTCACGGTGGCAGGGCCACGCAGCTGCCTCGGCTGTTGCACAAATGGGCAGGCTCGTCCGGGTAAGTACCACGACCGAGAAGACCGGCGTAAATTGGGAGTATAATACTTTTGCGTTTCATCTGGTGAGCGAGGTGGCCGGAGCCCAACTTTCAAAAGGTTGTCTACGCATCTATCACCATCGGGTGTAGCTGATGTCCATGGGCGGCGGTATTCACTTAACATCAGGTGAACCGTCTGGTCGCTTGGCAACGTTTTACATAAAAATTTATTGTGTCAAGATACAATATCTTCAATGCACGGAATGATATTCTACCAGACAAAGAGATGCCATTAACGTTTGTTTGTGCGGCCTGTGCGCTTAAATAGCAATAAAATTTATACAAGCTTCACCTTCAACCCCAACGAGGTGGGGTCTAAGCTTACCCCCAAAGTGACAAGTGGTCACATCGTCGCCACACATAGGTACAATTATAAGACCGTTATTTTTGCACGAAATATCTTAACCTCTGTTATTCATTATTTAAATTCGCTCCACTCAGATATACATGGCCAATAAGCATCCGATACTGCATATACCAACAGTTATACCCTTATAATATAACCTGTTACCGGAAAGAATTCTCTAACGCACAATCAGTTGGGATTCAGGTCTTTTCTGCTTAATAAGCAAGGCCGTAAGGGTATTATAAAACAAATATACAGCACATTATGACTATAATAAACGACTTTTTTATAACGATACCTACTGAATATTTATATTAGCTACTGTTAGTTGAACACCATTTATTTCATGAAAAATGTTTTTACGTTATAACATTCATGAGTGCAAAAAATTCACATGCGGTCAGTTGACCCACAAGATAACCAGAGTAACATTTTGAATTGCATTTAACAATTCCATTGGTAAATCCGTATTATATCTGGATTGCTCCAGTATAACCGGATTAAAAGAGTGCTCTGTTCATTGCTATAACGACTCTTCACAAGGGTCAACTAATATTTATAAATAAACTAGTAATACGCGCGTTTAATATTTTGCTAAAGAATTCTAGATTGCAATCGTTATCTTTCGTCTGTTTGAGTAGCTGTTTGCGGAGTTTTATTAATTAAAATGCTTTAGTAAAGGCCGAAAATGGGCAATTTACATTGGGCCTTTTTCGATATCGACAGCGTATAGCGTACTTTGATATGCCGTTTTTTATAGCTGTTTTGCGAGCGACGTCGTCGGAGAACAATGTAATAATATTTTATATATGTAATAGCTATGTGTATATATGTAATAAATGCAATATGAGATAAGAAATCTTCAATGTAAGAATACTAACGTCTGTTGGCTCACTGAAGATTACGAGCGATGTGCTGATAAAACGCCTCTACATGTCCCACTGCTGGGCAAAGGCCCCCTCTGATAGTATCAGGGCATCGTCCACCACGCGGCCCCACTGCGGATTGGCGGACTTCACATGTCTTCGAAATATTTTTTTTTTATTATTATTTCGAAATTATGCAGGTTTCCTCACGATGTTTTCCTTTACATCACCATTGACCACGTGATAATAACTAAGCACTTAAAATTAACAATTTCATTGGTACCTTCATCGGGATTAAACTCAGGTTGCTCGAGTATATTGAGTTAAAGGCGAGCGCCCGGACAACTGAGCTATCACGGCTCAACGCTTATACGGTAAAGCGGCAAGCCTCTCTGTTGCCTAAGAACTTTAAGTTTAGACATAATTGAATATAACGTGATCATTTCTCGGAAAATTTGGTTATTTACCGACATGTAGAATTGTAGAATGGAAACCGATCTGTTTTGATTTTTACATTTTATCAAATATTTTCGCTGTACAATAACAACATAGCTAACATGTTAAAAGCATTATATGAATTGTTTGCACGTAATAAATTTCCAAAGCGAGGCTTGGTTATTGTTGAAAGTGAATGAGCACACCGAATGTTCGCAATAAGCGGCTTATAAAATTTTGATTCTACTTTGACGAGAACGTACCTAGCTAAATGAAATGAAAGGATATTCTATAAGTAGATGAGTATTATTCACAGTCACATCAATTAAAATTTAGTTAAACGTACGCCAGTTTAGAAAACTAAAGTTAATTGAACTTTTTGAAATCACTGAAGTTATACGTCTTCAGGCGCGTTATGAAGAATTATGAAAAGTGAGGTGGCCGGAGCCCAATTTACGAAAAGGTTCTCGACTCATCTGCAACCTTCGGGCATAGCAAACGTCCATGTGCGGCGATATTCACTTAACGTCAGGTGAATCGTCTGCTCGCTTGGCAACTTTTCTCATTAAAAAAAAATTAAGATGCGCGCGCAACACTGTAACAGAAAAGTAACACCTTTGAAGCTGCCCGCTAATCTGATTATTATAGATATTGTTAAAATTTATATTATTTTAAAGTCTTTTTCTTGTTTTATTGTAATTAATTATTTGCATGCAATTAAAAACTATTTTTAATGATGCCAAACCAACATACCAATTTTGTTTTATGTGAAACGTGTAAACTTCATATTAATAAGTTAAAAATGTAATTTGAAGTAATGAATGATTTCATACAGTATCGTCATGGACATATATGCGCCGAAACAAGCTACGCATTGATATTACAATTGGTGTAATTTCTCTTCTGTTCGGTCCTATTCTATCCGTAGCTAGCGTACGTCAAATTCAACTCAATAGACTCCATGACCATCGACCATAGACCATCCCTTTCCGTATCATGCGTTCTATGTCATCCGTCACATTCACTTATACATGTCATGTAACAATGTAATGCAGTGCAAACGTAGTGATTACATTCTCTTTGATGTAATGTAAACGCAGTGATTACATTCTCTTTGATGTAATGTAAACGCAGTGATTACATTCTCTTTGAATGTAACGCGGAACAATTTTTAAACGCCACACACAGTACGGACATGCGTCGCGTTTATTAAGACATCATTGCATCAGCAGTGCCAAATAAAAACGCAGATCGTGTTCTGTTATTAAATATTGGGTAAATGTAAATAACTTTAACTCCGGCGTAATTCAAATCAAATAAATTTTAAACGATAGAGAAAACTCACTTATGAATTTATCAACAAGCAGAATTTGGCGGTCGCTTATAGTTTTCGAAAAAATAAATAATGAAATAGTGTGATTTTTACTATACAAATCCGCCATTTTTTGTTGTCAATTCAGCTCGTATTTCTTGGTGGTCATAAAAAAAAACCTAACATCGAAGGTTAAGGCGGGAGCTCCGCTCCCGCCTGAACCTTCTAACCTAATCTATCCGAGTCGGATTCGCTCTGTGTCGGTTCTGTGACTCACTAAATTTAAAATCGGAATATCGATACGTGTATGATGGCGCCCGCTTCCTATATTTATCATGTTGGCAGAACTGTGTAAAGAACTTTTGAAGTCAAACGAATAAAATGGTGGATTTCTTAGTACAAAAAAACAAGTTTTAAATATTTTTTTTCTCGAAAACTATAAGCGACCGCCGAATTCTGCTTGTTGATTAATTCATTAGAGATTTATCTCTATCGTTTAAAATTTATTTGATTTGAATAACGCCGGAGTTAAAGTTATTTACCTTTACCAAATATTGTTTGCGATCCAAACGTGCGAAGATTCTCGAACCGTCTCGTGGACGGTGACAATTTTTTTGCCTCAGTGGATACCGACGCCGATGACGTAACCTGGACGTTTGTTCGCAGGCTACGGCATGACCCTGGGCTTCCCCACCATCCTGATACCAGCGGTCAGCCAGCCGAGACCAGACGAGGTGTTGCGCTTGGACACCAGTCAGATTTCTTGGATAGGTGAGGGATGAACAACTTTCATAATAATATCTTCATTATCATCGTCCCCTGCCCTTATCCCACCTAAGTGTGAATCATGTAGTAAGCGGTCTTGGCTATGTTTTAGCGACCCGCCGCCTGCCTGACGTAAACGCTCCTTGGGAAACGAACCCCACTAATGCGGGACAGTTATTTTTGGGTCACACAAATACTTGTCCCGTGTGGGAATCGAAACCAATACCCTGGACGCCGAAACCAATAGCTTAGCAACGTCACTATCGAGTAATCTAATGAGTAAGGTATTATTAAGGTATTATTATTCTCCGTATAAACACAGAAATATAATTTTTTTTCTGTAATGACATGTCACACAATCTCAGAGTAACAAAAAAGTACATGTAACATTTCATAAGTTTTCTAAACAAATCAGTAAATTAATAACCATTGACTATATTATGTTAGAGTGGGTTCGAAATCAACAACAATAACCATATCAGCACTTTCGGGGAGACTTACGTTCAGCAGTGGACAACGATATCACTGCTGAACATAAGCCTCCGCCAAAGTGCACCGACTATCCCAGGGACAGCCCCCATCCATCCGCTGCCCTCTTAAGTGGTCAGTCGTGCTGCAGCTTTGAAATCAGGCCTCACTTCCAAGAACAGCGTCTCGCACCCGTGCATCACTTGGCGTGTTCATCTGTTAAACTCTATCTTCTTCATTAGTTCGTTTCCCACCTAATATCTACGCCCCGTTGTTTCTGTCATGAATTGGTTTCAACTTCAACCGAAGGAGTGCATTGACGGTGTAAGCGAAACCTCTATAGATAAATGTCTTTATCGGCGCCGTTTTGTTCTCATCGAGGGATCATATTTTTTTTATCGAATATAATTATACTCCACCGACTCGAGGTCCGTACCCTTATCTGTTACATTCATCATGTTTTCACGTTACGGCGAGATACTTAAATATGCTGAGGGTTTATTTTGCATATTTCTCCTTATTACTATGGTATGGGGCATGTTTATAGCGGGGATAACGTTGTAATAATATATAGGCTCGATAAACCTGATCGTGGTGCCGCTGGGGTGCGCGCTGTCGGGCGCGGTGACGACACCGATGGGTCGGCGACGCGCCATGCAGGCCGTCAACTTGCCATTCCTGCTGGCCTGGCTGCTGTTCCACTTCTCGGGGACCGCTGGCCACCTCTACGGCGCGCTGTTCTTGACCGGCCTCGCGGGCGGACTTCTAGAGGCACCCGTAAGTAAGTCGCTGGAGTTACTCGCGCTATCGATAGCCGGGCGTTCGCTTTCAATTCAATGTGAGAAGCGGGCAATGGTAACGGTTACCACATCGGTTGAAGTATTTTGCTAACCCATTCTAAAATAAGAAACGTAAGAATAGCTTACGAAACTCAGTAGTTATAATTACTAAGACGGACAGACATCTTTATCTATTATATCTGCGTTGAGAGGACGCACGCTAGATGGCGCCAAACATTGCTAAAACGCAATAGAAAGTAACGTAAATAGATGTCGAGGTTTTCGCTTTGCGAGTTCATCGGCCGCTTAGCTTAGCTGGCAAACCGTCTGATCACGAAATCAGGACACACTTTTTGTTCATTTGTCTCCAAAAATTAACAATATAAATTTAATATATACTAATATCATCGCAGTGTAGAACAACCATCCACTAGATGGACGCCCGGTTTCTGAAACACTGATCATCGTAGATGTCAACTAATCAGCTGTCAAATGAATTACAAATTTCATTTTAGTTGCCAAAAGGATGTTTAAACTCTTTGAATTGATCATTCTGATCATAAAGAAGATCATTCTGGTCAATTCAGAGAATTTAACCATCCTTTTGGTACCTAAATTGTAATTTGAAATCCATTTGACAGCTGATTAGTTGACATGTACGATGATCAGTGTTTCAGAAACCGGGCGGGAGTGACGACCTGTGCAAATGTGCGAGAAGTCGATGGTGGCAGTCTATTCGGGAGAGAGTCTATGCCCGTGTTCAGCAGTGGACTCAAACGGGCCGAAATGACGACGACGATGATACTTATGTGCAGTTTTCCAGGTCATTCCGACCGTTACGCCCAACCGTGCCGGCAGGTGCTGACCTACGTGGCGGAGATAACGCAGCCGCACCTGCGCGGCGCGCTGGCCGCCACCAGCTCTATGTGCATCATCATCGGAGTGTTCACCCAGTTCCTGTTCGGCACGCTGCTCTACTGGCGGTCGGTCGCTCTAGTCAACATAACAGTCACGGTGCGCTCCCACAGCCCACTTCCCGATATCGAAACAAGCGCGCTATGCGAAACAGCATGGTAGAAGTACGTACGATCCAATGCATCGTTAGAGTACCACTGCTGGCTGCGCCTGCTCGCGTACGAAACCTAGTTGTGTAGACGCCGAGCTGTAAATCTAATTTATCGACGCTATGAGCAGCAGTCACTACTGAACGGCCACGAACCTATGTGGTATTTTTTGGTAGAGGAACACAGAACGTTAGCTTTGTCAGCGGAGGACGGCGCCGCGGTAATTGTGTCGAGCTATAACGACGCCCGACGTCCGATACCTTTTGTAGGTTAAAAGCGTTGAGTGTATGAAAATACTGTGGTGATGGAGATGGATGGCCGGTAGAAAATTCAATATCCCTCTAGCGCTCCCGGCTCTTTTGGGGTTTATGAAATGTCACTGCCTAAGGGATAGTCCTTGCCTAATAGACTTCGACGGGTAGAAATTTTTTTATGTTATACACTACGTTCCTTTGTCGTCGTGTGTATATTTAACTAGCGACCCTCCCCGGCTTCACCTTCCTCTTGAATCACTTTATCTAGTAAAAGAAACCGCATCAAGATACGTTGTGTTGTTTTAAAGATCTAAGCATACATAGGGACAGACAGACAGCGGGACAACTTTGTTTTATACTATGTAGTGATGCAAAGCAAATAAGCATTTACATTTCAAGTGACATTTTAATTCCCGGAACTAACACTTAAACTTTATGGTATGGTATTAAAGTTCAAATTGACATTTAAGTATTATTAAGAATTTTTTGTACGGGAATGTAGAAAAGTGTTGTTTTTAGACTTTTTCAGGCATTTTTTAATTTTTTTTCTTTCATAAGAACCTTCTCCTGATAATAACACAAAAAAAGTGAAATCGGTCCAACCGTTCACGCGTGATGGTGTGACCAAGGGAAATAGGTATTCATTTATATATATATATATATAATATATATATATATATATATATATAGGTTACCAGTTCGAAGTGTCGGTTTATTAGAGGTAATTTTTGCGTTACTTCCTCCACCGTATTTATTTTAATGGATGTGAAGATGAATAAAAGTTTCTTTTCCTTTTTTTTTGAAATCGTTGCCCTTACTTTAGGATAACATCAGGTACAAATATCTACACACAAATAGTTGTCCCGTGTGGGAATCGAATGTCGCCTCCGAAAAGCTTGTACACAAGTGTAAGTAAATGCAATTAAGATGAAAATGTAAGAAGTTCCGGATTTCATGTTTAGTTAAACATTTTACTAATAGTAAGCCAGTCAGCTTCCTTACTACGGGCCCACGACCTTATGGCCTTATGACGCAAGCGAGACCGAAAGATGAACGCGTCCACAGGTGCTGGCCGTTTTGGCGCTGTTCTTCGTTCCGGAGTCTCCCCACTGGCTGGTCTCCAGGCAGCGCCACGCCGAAGCTCGAAAGGTGAGGATAAAAATAGCCAAGACGGAAGTAAAGAGGAAACAGGAAGTAACCAATCGGTGGGTAACGATCGCAACATCATCCTTACAAAACTGAAGCAAAAATAATACGCAAAAGTCGACTTGCGCATTATTTAAAAAATTATTTATGAAATAAATACTATACCTCAACGGGCTAAATAAATGCCTTTTGGCATTCTCTCACAGTCAACCCAGTGTTTTGTCAAAGTTGATGAAGAGAGGTTTAAAAAGAAATTGATAACTAATTGGTCTTACTCATTGGTTGGTTTCGTTTTGAGTACGTTCACATTACGTTTAAATATTCTAAATGAAATGAACCTAGCGTTGTTCCGTCTAACACTTCCAATTTTGTACACCAATTCGACCGTAATACTTAATTAGTTTATCGATTTCCGGTCGAACTCGAATCTCGAGGTATGACCGACATGTAATTGTATTGGTACATGTCCATATATCTTAATGTACTCGTATACAAAGCGGTATATTGGCCGTTACTCGTGCCTCGAGTTTGGAACTAATAAAAGTATGACCTGCATAATTGCCTGAACCCATATATAAACTGGGTGCGAATAATATACAGTACCTGGAGGACCGAGCTTTGCTCGGTTTGTTTTTTTTTTGTAAATCGTGTATTTTGGAAATTACATTTAGATACAAATTACTGAGTAATGAAATATGCATAATATTTTTCGATCTTACCGCAATAATAAGAAAATATGAACTGGTGTTTTTCACCAAAGAAAGAACTTTAAAAGAGAGAAACTTTAAAAACAATGGAAAAAAGAACAAAATCATCTGGATGGATAAAAAATAAAAAATAAAGAAAGCAGTTATCTGGAATCGAAACAAGTAAAAAAATAAGTATTTATATGATCGACACGAACCACGGCCTTCTGTTTCGGGCCCGTCCGATTACCGACCGAGGTATTATAACATTTTTTTTCCGCTAAATTTACCGTCATATTCGAATGATATTTTTCATTCCCTGAAAACAGGGATAAAAGGACATTTTCTAAAAATGAAACCAAGCTAGATCGATTTTTCGCCCCCGAATCTACGCACATACTACATTTCATGAAAATCGCTGTAGCCGTTTTCGAGATTCCGATTATGTATATATATATATATATATATATATATATATATATATATATATATATATATATATACAAGAAGTCCTCCAGATACTTTATATTACACTTGCTATTACTATTACCATTTGAGGACCAAGATAATCTTATCTTAATAAGAAAATAAGACAGGTTCCGTGTTAATCCAGTACAGTCGATGGTTTTTAATCATGGTGGAATTTTTACATTATGATTATTTGCAGAGTTTACAATGGTTGCGGGGCTGGACTACACCGCAAGCGGTCGAAGAGGAACTTAAGGACATTCAGGTCCTATTCAAGAGAAAAAAAGGTACGCTTATAGGCTGACTGTGAATATTCATATATATTATTATTCTGTGGGCGTGTATGTCACACCTTATAAACGGCTGGACCATTTTAATGAATATTTTTCGTGTATCTTCAGGTCGATTCGAGAAGGGCTTTGATTCACAATTTGGCCTTGTGTTTTTTAATTTTTTTTTTTTGTCGGATTTAAGTCGTGTATACAGGACAACGTCTGTCGGGTCCGCTAGTGTTTATTTAAATTTCGTGTGAGTATTTAAATTTCCCAATCCAACGAGGAAAGTCGAAAAGAAAACAGTCTTAACTCTTTTAGCCGTAGTACCTAAAAAGCAGTTTATAACCCGGGCCCCAAAGAATCACTAAGAAATCTGTTCAAAGAAGTCAAAATATTGACTGTTGCTTTGAGAACCAACAGTCAATATTTTTATATTATTGTTATGTACTGAGCTACTGAGGCATACTTGTAATAAATATAAATAATATACCATCAAAATAAGAACGAACCTTCTAGACATAGTAATGTGCATTATATAAATACTAGGAATAAACGTAAATTAATTCTATCCACGACTAGACTGCGTAGAGTAATTCTTTTATGGGACAACATGGTCCCATATACGTACAACGTTTTTACAACTAAATCGCAGAAAACACACCTGGAAATGAATAGACTTTAATACATTTTAAACTTGTTTCTTGTAAAATAATGTTGAAATGAAATGTCCGTCTGAATTTCTTTCGCCGGTTCAGCTCAGGCTTTTCTTTTCCGAACCCGTGGTAGTGTTTTGACAATCAATAAGTCAGTGTTACACTTACTACACTGCTTTTATATTGAATAAAGCTATTTGTATTTGAATTAACATGGTAGTGGCGAGATGTAATTTAAATTACACCAGTGGCACAGCTGCCCTGAACAAAATAAGATATTAATTTGCGTTAAGGGGGCAAACGTTAAGTCATCTAAATCGAATATAAACCAAAACCTGAGAAGTTATGTATTTACAAACACACAGTCAAGCCCGATATGAACGTTTTCAGTGGGTAACAACGAAGTTGAAGATACTTGGTCCGAGAAGGTGTCGCAATATCTGCACCGCAGTTTCCTGGTGCCGTTCTCCCTCGTCAGTTACAGCTTCTTCGTCGGCCACTTCAGCGGCATGACCACGCTTCAGGTGCGCAACTGCATCGCTTTCTAGTCAAGTTGTTTAGTTTGGACAAACAAGGACAAACTGTGCAGTTTGCTAGTTAAGCTTATTATGTAATACATGTGTACATGTATATACATGTGCATACATGTGTAATACATGTATATACATGTGCATACATGTATATACATATCAAAAATCAAAAGGGTTACAGATGCGTTGACAACCCTTTGAAAATTGGGCTCCGGCTAACTCACTCACCAGACGAAACGCGAAAGTATACACTTTACGCTGGTCTTCTGTGAGGTAGTGGTACTTACCCGGACGGGCCTGCCCATTCGTGCAACAGCCGAGGCTGCCGCGTGGCCCTACCACCGTTAAAGGTCTAGGGGTTTAGGGCTAAGGTATGCACTGTCTGTCGTAAAGGGCGATTTAAAGCGGTCACCGTGTTCATTTTGGTGGACTCACGTTCGCGGTCAAAACAAACGAGGAGAGAGTGAGGAGATGCAAAGAAATGTATCGAGAATATTCTATAGTAAATCTGGGTCGACGGCGCTGCAGACGTACGCAGTGTCGATCTTTCAGTCGTTGGAGGCGCCCATGGACAAGTACAACGCAACCCTGGTGCTGGGGCTGGTGCAGATCGCTGGCACCGCGAGCTGCGTTGTCCTGGTTCGAGTGGTGGGGAAGCGGGTGCTGACGCTAATTTCCAGCGCCGGGGCGGCTACCTGCTGCCTCCTGCTAGCCGGCTACGACGTTTACATCCAGATGGCAGGTTCTTTTTTATGTGAGAAAGTGGCAAACGAGCTGGCGGTTGACAATTGGACAAAAAAACGATGGACAATTGCAACACCCGTAGGGTTGCAGATGGGTACCCACATTTTAGAGAATAAGAAGTGCAACACTTCTTCTTCACGCCGGTCTCCTGTGCGGCCGAGTACTAACCCGAGGGGAGCCGCACATCCGTGCAACAGTGAATGCTTCGTGGCCCTACCACAGTTAAAATATGTCGTTTTTAGCATTCCGTATCCAGGGTAAAACGGGACCCTATTACTAAGAGTCCGCTGTCTGTCTGTCCATCCGTCTGTCACCGTCAGTCGTTGTGATAGTAAGACAATTGAAATTCTCATAGATGATGTATTTCTGTTGCAGCTATAACCACAAATAAGAGACTAAAAACAGATTTAAAAAATATTTAATTGGGCCTCCCATACAGCAAACATGATTTTTTGTCATTTTTATAAATAATGGTACGGAACCCGTCTTGCGCGAATCCACTTATCACTCGGTTTTTTTATTTCTTACAGCCTACGTACCTCTCCAACCTATTTCCTTCAAGCTTACTGAAATGCTGTAAGCGCCTAGGCCGATTCAAGTTTAATCTCTAATACCAAATATAAGTCAGAGCTAGTAATGAATCGCGAACCATTTACCAATGGGACATAAAAGAGTCTCGTCACTAAACTCGCTTAATTTCCGGCGCTCCTCCGTATTTTATCTAAGGAAGTATTCGCTTACCGTCTGCTTGACTTTGTGAAGCGTCCTCAGATTAAGTTCGCCACGCTATTTTAACCGACTTCAAAAAAGGAGGAGGTTTCTCAATTCGACCGTATATATATTTATTTATTTTTATGTGTGTTCGGGGATAACTTCGTCATTTATGAACCGATTTTGATAATTCTTTTTTGTTGGAAAGGGGATATCCCAAGGTTGGTACCATAAACCCTAATCTGATGATGGCATCCCAGAGAAATCGAGGGCAATCCTCAAATGTTATAGCCGTTGACCATGTTTTATTAGTTTCCTGTTTGAAGTCGGTTTCTTTTTGTTCAAAATTATGTTTATGTGAAAAGTTGCTAAGCGTGTAGGTGGTTCACCTGACGTTAAGTGAATGCTCGCCCATGGACATGCTACACCCGAGGGCTACTGGCGCGTTGACAACCTTTTGAAGATTGGGCTTTGAAATTTAAGATCGGGTTATGAGAACTTTGACGAGATGTTACTCCGCAGCAGGATAAGCCGTACGGCGGCGTCATGGTCAACGGGTTGGCGGACAACAGCTCTACGTTGGGATTGAATGCTCACGATGACGCGGAGTCTGTGGTGAGTCTCCATATATGCTACCTTTTTATTTCTTTATTCTTTACTGTACACAATATAAAATCGAAATCAAAGTTAAAATTGAAAAAACGTACATAGGCGAGTTTAACCCTGAAAAGAATTAGCGGCAAACACCTGATGTAAGATTACAGAATAATTATGATAGGTAAGTGGATAGGTGTGTGTAAGATATACTTGTTTATGTGAGAAGGTGGGAAGCGAGCCGGTGGTTCACCCGACTTTAAGTGATAACCGCCGCCCATTGACATTTGCAACACCCACAGGGTTGTAGATGCGTTGCCACCTTTCAATAAAGTGGGCAACGGCTACCTCACTCACCAGACGGAACGCAGAAGTATAACACTTTTGACTAACGATCTTCTGTGAGGTCGTGGTACTTCCCCGGGCGGCGCTCCGCAAATCGATGTCTCGGATTGGAATCGAAAACTCTGTGCTTTTCATAAGCTGTTGTGCGCTATTTCAAAGTTATTTAACGCTATTTAAATAGAGTACCCGAAAGACCGAGCTTTGCTCGGTTTGTTTTTTTTTTTGGTAAATCGTGTATTTTGATAATTACATTTAGATACAAATTACTGAGTAATGAAATATGCATAATATTTTTCGATCTTACCGACGTAATAATAAGAAAATATGAACTGATGTTTTTCACAAAAGAAAGAACTTTAAAAAAAAGGGGTAAAAATAACAAAATACCAATTCGACAAAAAATAAAAAATAAAGAAAGCAATGATCTGGAATCGAAAAAAAAGTAAAAAAATAAATGTGTAAGTGATCGTGACGCGAACCACGGCCGTCTGTTTTGGGGCCGCCCGATTACCGAGCTATTATGACATTAAAAATTAAACCTAGCTAGATCGATTTTTCGCCCCCGAATCAACGAACATACTAAATTTCATCGCTGGAGCCGTTTCCGAGATTCCGATTATATATATATATACATGAATTGCTCGTTTAAAGGATAAGATAGAAGATAAGATTTAAAGGATAAGGAGGAGGTTTCTCAATTCGACCGTATATATATATATATATATGTTTTATGTGTGTTCGGGCATAACTTCGTCATCTCAGATCTGATGATAGCATCCCAGAGAAATCGGGGGCAATCCTCAAATGTTATAGGTGTTGACATGCTTTTAGTTTCCATTTGCTGTTTGAAGTCGGTTTTTTTTTTGTTCAAAATTATTAAATATTATGTCTAGTCCGTTCACGTTCGCTCTTTAGTCTCAAACTAAGCAACGCTAGTACTGTGGGAATACCCAGTTCAGTGTCAGTTTACTAATAAGAAAACTGATAAACATACTTAAACACAGTTTTCTTTTGTAAATAAATACATATTATATATAGATATGTATGTATTTATGGTATAGTTATGCCCACTGACACTGAAAAACACTATGTTCATCACACAATATTTTAGTGATGGGGATTGAACCAACACCCTCTGGTGCAAGAGGCAGACTCCCCACGCCGGTCGGGTCGTCAACAATATTTGTAACTGTGTAATTATTTAGCAAACTAACATAAATCGGGACCCTGGTGTGTTTTCGGGGCCTGCCCGGCATCCAAGCTCACCAAACGAAACTCGCAAGTTGCAATCAATATAGACGCCAGTCTATTCACATGATTTTATATTCCAGAAGAACCCGTGCTCACAAACCCATGATTTATTCTTTACCAGCGACCCGCTCCGGCTACGCACGGGTGTAATGTATTATACATATAAACCTACCTCTTGAATCACTAGTAAAAGAAACCGCATCAACATCCGTTGCGTACTTTTAAAGATCTAAGCGTACACAGGGACAGACCGACAGCGGGACGACTTTGTTCTATACTATGTATAGTAACTGTACACAGAGTATAATTGAAAACAAAGATACAAAAAAGAATGTACACAGACGAGCTTAACCCTAAAAAGAGTTTTCTTCTAGCAAACCCTGACATAAGATTAAGACAAATTATGATATATGGGTGTGTAAAACTAGATATCTAGTTTTACATAAAGTTAATATTTACTTGATTAAGTATATACTTACTTGATTTTGTATTGCAGAAGAACCCCTACTCATGGATACCCATGACCCTCCTGTTTTTTCTGGCGTTCATCACGCACACCGGCATCCGGATGCTGCCCTGGATCCTCATCGGGGAGGTAAGGGATTCAGTAGACGGTGAGGGTACGTGAGCTCGTCGACGAATGCTCCATTCTGACGAAATGCGATCTTATTGGTATCCATACGAACACGGTGTTTCTGTCGACCTGTGGATAATTCTAAACATGCAGTCAGGTCAAACGTTATACCCAAAGGAACGTGAATCAAGATCATTAAGTAATTATGACTTTCTCATAATTACTTAATTTAATGCGATCATGATTGTCGTGTGGGCGAAAGGCACTAAATGTCATCTGAGAATTTTAGACTTTATTGCTTATTAACGAGACAAACGATTAGTAGGGCCTCACAACTAACATTTTGGTATCAATTAAAGTTTTTTAATACTACAACTTTAATCTTGTTTTACTAAATTTTCACAGTTGTAACGAAAAACGATATAAAGCAGTTATAAAATGAATTTAGCTCCAAAAATTGTTCTAGAACTTTAATGACGATATTAGATAGCTTTTAGAGTTAGAACAGTGCTAATCACAGCAAGTATAGTTAAGATGATACAACTTTAACCTGTTTATGACACTAAATATATACCACAATGCAGGTAATATCTGCACAACTGTGGTAGGGCCGCAACAGCTCTGGCTGTTGCACGAATGGGCGGCTCCGTCCGGATAAGTACCACGACCTCGCCGGCGTAAAGTATCATACTTACTTTTGTCTGTGGGTTCGGCATTGTTACCAACTGTTCAAAGAAATACTCCCAAAGCATTTCAAAAAACCAACTATAATTCAATAAAATCCACTAAATTCTAACCAAAACATCCTAAATGAGAAACACTTAGAGGAGGTTTTGCTTTGAATTTACCGCCTAAAAACTTTTGTTGTAAACTTTTTGCCCGAATTTAGGAAGAAAGCTTGTCATCGCGTTTCGGTCTTTTGTCTTCCCAAATTTAGGGCAAACATTGCCATTGCCATTTCGGGCCGCAGGTGTTCAGCGCGAAGACGCGCGCCGGCGCCGCCGGGCTGGCCAGCGCGGTGGGCTACGTCTTCGGCTTCGTCACGAACAAGGTCTACATCGGAATGGTGGACCTGCTCTCCATTTGGGGCACTTACGGCTTCTACGGGCTCATATGGTGAGCGCATTTTGTGTGGGCCAAATTTCATACTCAAAATTCAAAACGTCTCCACGTAAACAGACGCTTGCGCGTTCTTATGTGACGTCGGACTTTACACAATAAATAGCTGATCCGGCGAACGTTGTTTTGCCGTAATTTTCCGAAAAATGAAAATTAATTACAGTTAGCCACCCATAGTACTTAAGGGTATAAAAAATTAGTTATAAATCTACTCTCGTACCTACTGTATACAGGGAGATTTTTTGAGAAGTGCTCAAATTTACACAGGAGGTTCAGACTCGGGAGTATAATCGTTTATTGAAATAAAAAACAAAGTTTTTTTTCCAAAAAAAATGCCATTCTATTCCTTAAAAAACAGAACGTCTTGACAATGCGGTAGTCATTCATAAATACCTAAATTCTACTGTGCACGAACTTGTGTGCGTGTTGGTTATGAATGCGGCGTAAAATAAATGAGTTGCGTATAAATGACGCACTTTTTGAGATAAGTTCAAATGAATGTAATTAATTACTTACGATTTGATTTTAAATATTTATCATTTTTATATAACATTATTTATGTCTGAATCTAATTAAAAAAATGGATACAATTAGAAATGCCGCCCTGTATATACATATAAGATTTCAACAAAATCAGTCAAACCGTTCCGGACGAGTATAAACAATAAAACTGTGACACAAGAATGTTATATATTAGATTGTGAAAAGTTGCCAAACGAGCAGACGGTTCACCTGATGTTAAGTGAATACCGCCGCCCATAGACATCTGCTACACCCGAGGGTTTGCAGATGCGTTTACAACCTTTTGGAAATGAGGCTCCAGCCACCTCCATATTATACTTCCACTTTACGCCGGTCTTCTGTGAGGTCGTGGATTGATACATAAGTTCGTGAGTAAGTTGCCACCGGTTTGTTCAGAGGAGACCTGAGAAACTCAACAGCCGCTCATTTTTTTTAAACCAATAGGCCATCGATGAACGATCGGTTTGACAATCAATCAAGTCAAATCTCTAATACAATTGGGAAATAATTGGGAACGAGGCGCTATTGGGACAAATCGCATATAGGTACATGTGGAACCAAATCATAACACAAATGAGGTCAAGTGATATCACTAGGATCTTTCATTATAGGTAACCAATTGGCCTTTGTAACTAGATGATATTGATGTGAGAATTTGTAAAGATGCCTCTGAGAAGCGGCTGCGTAAATTATACCGACCGTACTCGGGGTACTTAAATGAATTAAGTACGCTGACCTGCAATGTTCAATATCAAAGAATCATTAATAAGAATCCACTTGACAAGGAAACTGAATTAATGCCAGACAAGCGCTAATTGGCACTCGAAGCAGGGCCGTAAGTGGGATAAATCGGGTAATTGCCTCCAGTAGAACTAGACTGCTTCCACGCAAGACCTCCGTCTTCACTACACATTTCCATAGAATTTGAAAAATAACTAGATACGATGCGATAAAATGTTTTACGATATATACAAAGACTAGCGTCCCGTCCGGCTTCGCACGGGTGCAAAGTATTACACATATAAACCTTCCCCTTGAATTACTCTATCTAGTAAAAAATACCGCATCAAGATCCGTTGCGTACTTTTTAAGATCTGAGAAAACATAGAGTCAGACAGTTAGCGGGACGACTTTGGTTCATACTATGGCACTCAAATGACACCAATTGGTGTAATTAGATTGCAATTCTGTAGACTGCTATCCCTTTCCGTATAGTACGTTCTATATAATCTGTCACATTCACTTAAACATGTCGAATAATGTAAAGCGGAACAATATTTTAAACGCCGCGCGGCATGATGTCCGTATCGTCATCTATATTATTAAAAATCATTGGCGTAAAATAAACACTAGAAATAAGGACAAACTTACTACGCCATTGTTTCGCCTACAAAAAGTAAATAGGTCGTTCACGGGGCAAGGTGTGCGCATGTATAATAAAATCCCACAGTCGGTGTTAAGTCTGCCGCTTGACCAATTTAAATGTAAAATTAAAAGTCAACTTATGGTTAAAGCATATTATACCATTGCGGAATATCTCGACGACGCGAATGTGCAGAGTTAATACTGTTGATACTCACGTAGGCTATATTGTAAACTGATAGTTTTGAAAAAGAGCAACTGTTGAGTTTCTTGCCGGTCTCTTCTCAACAGAAACTGCTTTCCGAGCCGGTGGTACCTTACGAACCTATATACATAGTTTTTGATTTAAAATTTGACGATTCATAAGAGCGCGCAAGCGTCTATTTGAATTACCTAATATATTTTTGATTTTGTGGTAGGACGAAAGTGCCAGCTTGAACAAGGAGGAATTAGTGGGGCCCATTTTATTAGATGTTACGTAACTATCTATGGGTACTGCTTCGTACAAATGAAATAAGGAATAATTAGATGATTCTTTCCAAAGTACAGTGCAATATCTGTCACCTAGTGACTTACGCCTACGGATGCCTATGTAGAAGCCAGTTTTACATGTTAAAGACCTTTAGGCATGTCGGGATTTCTTATTAGTTCACGGTCGAAAATTCCCCCTGTTCGGTCGTGAATAAAAATTAGAATGACATATATTAATTTCCTTTTTTTACGTGAATGATATTAAATACTAATAATATTTTACGGATTTTATCACGTTTTAATTTTGATTTTTAACTCCCGACGTTTCGAACCGTCCCATTCATCCATTCATGATCTATCCCAGCTCAACTTATCAACTGACCGTAAAATAGTTTCATTTAATTTCAAATAATTAATATTTAAAACTGGAACTTTAGGTCCGTGGGGTCCCCGCACTTCAAAATTTCTTAAAAGTTTATGTCCTAGGCTTAACGCTCGCGGCTGGTGACAAGAGAGCTGCTTCTTTTCTCGCTCAAAGGTTAAGCATAACTATTCAGCGAGGAAATGCAGCTAGCGTTCTTGGCACCATGCCGCGTGGATTAGGTTCATTAGATGATATGTAATTTTAGATAGATTTAATCTTGTAAATATTAGATCAATGAAGATTATAAATATGTTTAATATTAAAATGTCATATTTAATTTTCATAACCTTGCAAGTTTCAAAGGATCGAAACATTATGACAGTCATCGAATGGTTCGAAACAAGCTTTTATTAACCGACTCAAAATGAGGAGGTTCTCAATTCGACTGTATTTTTTTTATGTTTGTCACCTCAGAACTTTTGACGAGATGATTATTTTTTTATTTGAAAGCTGTTGCTGCCCAAGTGGTCCCATAATAATTTCATTGGTATTGGATTTTGGGCTCCGGAGATACTTAAGGAACTCCTGCGCCAGAGGGTGTGGGTTCGATCCCCACTACTGGAAAAATATTGTGTGATGAACATAGTGTCTGAGTGTTTATATATGTATAATATGTATTTATTTACAAAAGAAAGTGTGTTTATCAGTTTTCTAGTACCCATAGTGCAAGCGTTGCTTAGTTCGGGACTAGAAAATGTATAAAAATGTGTCAAAAATATTATAAAATGAATACAGTGCGAGATATTTGAAAAAAATGGTTGTTTAGAAAAAAAAATCAATTCAACGGGTGGCGCGTTTCCACTTTTCACTTTGTCAACTGCTTTGAGCGCTCTTTCGTGGCCACATCCCCAGATACCCACCGTGAGTCTCGGTGCGTGGGTTAAACCACCCTCGCAATGCCTTGCAAACAATTGTCGGCTGTTGCAGCTTGACCGGCTGCGTGGTATTCTACTTCATACTGCCGGAGACCGAGGGCAAGAAGCTCAACGACATCGAGAACCACTTCGCCGGCGTGAAGAAGCTCTCCAACGAAGTCTACCGCTCTAAGGTAAGCTCAGACAGAGAAAGCATCGGCGCCGCCTTTACTTGGGCTAAAGCCATTTTACGAGCTATATAGTGTATATAGCTCGTAAAACGGCTTTACAATCGCGACAATAAATGAACACACATACAGAGGATAACTTTTTAAAATTGTATTAAACATTTACATTCTTTAAACATCAATATTTAACGAGTTAGAAATATAATATCATTGCCCATAATATGTGGATCTAATAACCACTATGTGAAAGACTCAATTTGAATGGATGACGATATAGATACAAACTTTTATATTTATTTATATTTTCAGAAAAGAAAAAATTTGGAGATTTCAAAAATGCGGGAAATTAAAGGCGCCGTCAACCAATCCTTTGAAGGAGACAACACGAATCTTTAATTTAGAGTTAGCAATCATTAATTTCATTCTTGCCCAAAGTTAAAGTGAGTAATAAAAACAAGAAATTCAAAACATTCGATTTGTGCTAAGTACTTTTAAATAGTGTCATTGAATTTTGACTTATTGGACGACGATTAATTTGATACGTTTTATTTTATTATTAAGCCATATTACGTAGAATTACTAATGATATTTAAGTTAATTATTTTTGCTCGTAACACTTTATCACGAGCTATTCTATTCCATGAGAGAATTAGATTTTTTCTTGCGTCTAGCGACATCTAGGCTTGGAAATTGTAGTTTCTAAACGAAATGAATTTTGTTACCGCGCCATCTTGTGGTCTTTACAGTTATTAATAGCGTAAGGTGAAACTAAGTTCCAAATTTTACCACGCAGTTCTCCATTTCTTTTAGTTTTAATACAATCAATAACTGTAATTGTATTTTATAGTAGAGTATAAAACATGATTTAATAGTGGTCATATTAAATGTGGCAGCTGCAAAACTTTTAAACTACATTGTGATATTTTAACTAAATAACTGACATTTTATTAAAGTTAAAGAAGACAGGCGTAATTATTTATGTCTATATGTGGTCACACTGTTTTAAAAAAATATGAACTCAAATTAATAAATTTAAATAAGGTAATGATAAAAATGTAATGTAAGACGTTAATTCAAAATCTTGTTGACTAAGAATACTTAGATAATACTTATGTTCGAATATATAATATGTAAATAGTCATATTAATAAAGTTGATTATTAAAGAAACGAATTATTACAGTTTTTAGACCAATGTCGTTTTGAAAACTGTTTTTATAAAATTTTCCCCCTCAAATACATTACAATAACCCGAGTATGAGAAGTGGGCGTAGCGAGAAGTTCAAAAAAATGTGTGCGTGTACTAGCGTACCCTCGTAAGAAGTGAAACTTTTTTATGACGTTATGTTTCAAAAAATAATTTACTATATGCAACTTTACAGAAATTGGTTAAATTAAGTTAAATTAGATAAAGTTGCATAAAAGGCTTTTATTATCATAGACATAAATACAAATTCTACAATTATTTTATTTCATTTTAGCTTTGTATAATATTTAGTTTCTTATTTGTAATACATAGGTGGCGTTAGTAGTAAATTAAAACACACTATGGTTTGACCGTTGTAATTGGTATGAGGGTCCGCAAAAATTGTTGATTAAAACTACCTCCCCGTTCATGCGGTCCACCGCATGAAAAGCAAAAGAAAGCGCATGGACATGGACATGGACATGGACATGGTCCATTTAGACCTCTCTCCAGAGGGGAAAGCAATATTCTCAATATTGAGTCAGTCATGGGACCAGGGACGTTAATCTTAGAACAAACTGGCACGTCGCTGGAGAATAAAAGGATATGAATTTTAAACGATATGTTATTCTCTATCATCATTGTTCAAATCAACCCTTTTTAATTTAGTAGTATAGTACTGATGATTTTAGAACTCGGAAATAGAGATGGAGCTAAAATCGCTATTAAATTACTAAAATCAAAAGTCCCGAAGTACTAAACTTCAAGTGTCATATTGTAACTCTTTAATTTATACTCATTATAGCCATCTAAATTGAGCCAGTTTATTTGATGATTTCCAAAATGGTAGTTTTAAAATAAAGGCTATTGGCAATGGATTTATTTTATTTTGTAGCATTATCATTTCGTATACAGTGCTATTGTAGTATTACTTATTTTAAGAGGTATAATACATATAACTTTCCTGTAATAATTACTTTAAAATAATTTAAAAGAAATTCTACCAAAAAACTTGGTAGTTATCTTACTGTTGAGCCTGCTTGATTGAAATTTCAAATTAAAAATATAACTGTCGTGGTCGCCGAATTCGCCGTACCTCGCCTCGTAGTCCTTTCCTTATTTTATTTTCTTTCTTTTTGCATTGTTCTAGTGCTCCTCGCCCTATTACTCAGTGTCTGTGGATTTATTTTCCTTCATCCCACAGGTACGTGCTGTTGAGTTGAGATCCCTCCTCCGGTACGTGCTTTAGTGTAATCCTTTTGTTTTGTTCCCGAACGTTTTTTTGTGTTGGAGAAATTGACTCGTTGTTTGTGAGAAATTGACTTGTTTGTGAGATAGGACTCTTTTTGTGAGATAGGACTCTTACTTGTGAGACACGACTTTGATTACAATATGGCTTCAGATAAAAAATGTTGTGTACCTGGATGCCTGGAAACCGGTGGTAAGTAAATACAGCATTATATCTGCTACTTGGCACTTACGATGGACTTGAGTCTGGAAAAACAATCGTTAAAAGTAAATATAACCATTGTCTCTTTCTATTTTATTGCTTTAGAATGTAATTATGTAAATCTTCAGCCGAAAGGTGAAACAATATTGTTCTATACAACTCATAGTGTTTAACCTATAAAACTGAAAAAAGTTGTTTTTCAATTTTTCCTTTGTTTATAAAATTCATTGTCTTTATAATCTTTCTTGCATTTCTCCAAATTTTTCGGTGTATCGATTTGGGGGTTACCGGTCCAAGTGCAGGCTTCGCATGTAAATGTTATTTCTCGAAACTCCCATTTAATGAATCAAAAATATTATCAAAGAATAATAACAAATCAGCAGTTTCCTTGCACTCTGACGGGATTACACCTTTATCTGAAAGAATATAACATAATTGGATATAAATATGGCATAAAAGGTTACAACAATACATAATATTTATACATTTTAAGTACTCGTAATTTTACCTGATAAATAGCCCATATTTGCAGCTATAGTTTGACTAAAAATTTGAGTCGCATATTTTACTTTCATTTTATTTATTTGTGAAGGCTTTATATGGTTCTCTGTAAGTTTGGGCATAAGCCTGATCCCTTGATAGGCTGGATTTTCTTTATATAAGAGCTCCAGGTGTTGCCACTTTGCTATTTTTGTTGTATTATTAGCTGTGTATTTTAAACCTTTGGTAATTAAATTATTTCGCACACATTTAATTAGATGGGGTGGATAAAAAATGGGCACAATTTTTAAATTGTCTATGAAAATTAAACCTTGCTTGGGCTCCTCTCCTCTTCTGAGAAAGTCAACTCGCGATTCTTCCGTCAAGCACTTAATGGCGTTTCTATTTCCTGAGCCTTGATCACAAACTGTTGCAACAACAGTTAATCCAACCTTTGTTAACTCCCGGATAAATATCTTGATTAGTTTAGCTAATTCCGGCCCCTTTGTGGCTGACGCTGAAAATGTATACCCGACTGGCTGCTTGTAATTTTTTAACAAGCCTCTTACCATAAAAACTTGTGCATGATCTGGAAACTGTTCATGTGTATCGAAACCATTATTTACGAACCCAATAATTTTATCCGTTCTTTCATTGTATGTTAAATTTGCTTTCAAAGCCATTTCGTCAAATAACAGAATACATAATTTTTTCCTCGCCTTCATTTTCTGTACTTGCTGTTTTAATTGAGAAAATATGATAGGGTTTACTCCAGGTTGAATATTTGCGTTGTTAAATAGTTTAATCAAGGTTTGAGGGGTCGGTAGTATATACATATTTCTAAATAGGCATAGGTACCCTTTAGGACTTCGTTTTAATAAGGACAAGTTTCACTGTATGTAAATCGTCTTCCTTTGTTCTTCTTTTTGATTTCACGAAACTGCAACACTGTATTTTACCCGAATTTGGCAGGTTGTCCAGGGCTTTAAGAACTTTTTGGTTGGTTATCAACGTTTTAGGAGCTGGAAGTACAATAAATAACTATTTTTTTATTATTAAAATATTTTTACTCATAAATAAAACATATTATATTTTTATATTTGCTCAGCTTAATTACAAATAAAATAAAACCTTTGTACATATTTGTATTGCATATGTAACATAATTGCCGACATGATCTGATGAGGGAGCTAGAAATTATGACGGTAGCTGTGTTATACCTAGCTTAATTTGTTAGTTCTTGTTTATATAGATTTATTGAATTGTTCTTAATGAAATGTTTGATCAAACATATTTGCCGACGTGATCTGATGATGGAGCTAGAAATGATGAGGGTGTGAACTTGTTGGATTGGTTATCATACGGGTTATCATAAAAAGAATATTTTTAAAAACAAGCTGTGTCCTCAGGCGCTGGGTTTGGTGGAAAAAATTTCATCCAAGCTAATCTAAGCATTAGGGTTAGGACCGAGGGGCTGGTAGCTTTTAGCTGAAAGCTTTGAATAGGTTTTAATTTAGGTTAAGTTTTTGTTTTATTTTAAATAATTTTATGTTAATGTTTGTAAATAAATTATTTAACTTTATAAGTACCAAAATGTCATGTAGAGCTTGACGGGAGATTTAAGAAAAGGTAAAACCAATGCGGACAAAAGTGTTCATAATAACTTTGTAAAGTAGCAATCGAATTATAAAGTTTCGAAGTATGATTATAGTACCAATAAAGAAGTTTATATGTATTCAGAGTTTCATTTAAATTATTTCTTAGTATCTTCATCTTCTTTATTTAAATTATTAATTTCCTCTGAAAAATATAAATAAATAAAAAAAAATACTAATCAAGGTCAAGGTCAGCTGATATAATATTTTTTACAACTTGTAAATATAGATGGCGCTAGCTTTAATAGTTACGCAAAAAAAACCACTGAGTTAAGCCTCTATTTCCCTATATACAAAAGTACTCTGTGCATGGGACTGACCAATATTGTCATCGAACCTCCACACAAGGCCACCCTCCCGGGACAGTGCCACAAATGCCAAAATTACGGGCACGCCGCCCGTAACTGCTTTGCCAAGCCCAGGTGCGTAAAGTGCCTAGGCGACCACGGCACCCCGGAATGTCCCAGACCAAGGGACAAGGCCCTTCTGGCCAACTACGGTCCACCCGCATGCGTCCTCTGCCAGTCGGAAGGACACACAGCCAATTATCTGGGCTGCCCGAACGCACCTAAGCGCAGACCCATTAGGCCCGCCCCTCAGGCAAACAAGACGGCAGCCGATTCCAACGGCCGCCTCATTCCCTCCTCTTCGCCCCGCGTGGCAGAACCCCATGGCTCCCGCTTGGGCCAAGCCGAATCCGCCACTCGCGGAACCCAAAGCTGCCCCTCAACCGGCGCTCATCCCAACACCACCAAAAGCGGCCGGGGGCAACCCCCTGGACTCGCTAAGTCAACTTCTCCGCACCGTCGACATGGCGGAAGTAATGTACTTTGCCGAGCAGTATGCCAAAGGCAATTTCAGCTCGCGATTACTACTACTAGACCAGTACCAGCACATAGTTGCTGCGCTTTCAGTATAAACCAATATGGATAGCACAACTAGGAATAATAATAACGAAAATATTAGTCCCTCTGCCACGCGTAATAACGGCAGAGCCAAACCGCGATCGATAAATGTAGCATTCTACAACGCGAACGGGCTTAAAGAGCAACGCGACGAAATACGTATTTTCTTACGCGACCACCAAATAGATATACTACTAATTCAGGAGACGTTCCTGAAACCGGCGACAAGGGATCCGCACATCCCCAACTATCGGATAGTTAGAAACGACCGTGCCGGCGCCCCGGGCGGCGGCACACTAATTTACTATAAAAAATCCCTCCACTGCGTACCGGTAGACACGCCCGCGCTCACGCATCTTGAGGCATCCGTCTGTCAGCTGGCACTAACTGGCCACTCTCCCATCACTCTAGTATCAGTCTATCTCCCTTGCAGACCAACCGCAACTATATTGCAATCCGATTTTGAGGCCCTCTTCTCCATAGGAGGAGCCACCATATTAGCTGGCGACTTCAACAGCAAGCATATCCGATGGAACTCGACACGCACCAACAGTCGAGGCACCGCACTCGACTCGCTATCCGACAGGCTCGACTTTGAAGTTGTAGCCCCAGTCGAACATACGCACTTCCCTTATATAGAGGGACAATCATCGGATGTGCTTGATATTGCAGTCGTCAAAGACATCAATCTGACCATGCGCGACCCGGAAGTGATTCACGAGCTTCACTCTGATCACCGACCAGTCCTCCTTCGGCTAGGGCCCTCAGCAATAGCCGCCCACCAAACCAAAACAGTCATTAGCTGGCATAGAGTCTAAACCAAACTTAATGAGCCCAATTCAATATTAGAGTCGATCCCCGACCAACTGAACAACAAACAGGACACGGAGACCGCAATTCGGGCCCTCACTAGTCACGTCAACACCGTCGTCGAGCAATGCTCGAGACAGGTTCCAGCGATGGACGACCATCGCTGGGCCCTGCCAAACGATGTAAAAGACTTACTGAGGCGCAAGATTGCGGCCACACGCGCCTACAATAGATATCCCACCGACTCGAATCGTAGACTACTACGTAAATTACAACGTGAAGTCAAAACACGTATAGCAGACTCACGAAACGAACGGTGGGACTCCACCCTAGTCTCAATAAAACCGTCCCACCAAGCCTTCTGGAAACTTCCCAAATCCCTCAAGGGTATTGCCACTCCAAACATGCCACCACTAGTCCGCCCGATAGGAACGCCAGCAATGCTGGACGAAGAGAAAGCCTAGCTGACAGTCTAGAGGCCCAATGCTCCCCCAGCTTGCTTCCGACCCACCCCGATCACCTCCGTAAGGTGAACGAAGAGGTCGAAAGGAAAGCATCGGAACCACTCCGCGATCCCGTTCCCCCGGTCACGTGCTCGGAACTCACAGAAACATCAAACTGCGCCCACGCAAAGCGCCTGGATCAGATGGTATCACCAATAAGGTGACCAAACTTCTCCCTACTAGCATCCTTCAGATACTAGTCTTAATTTACAACGCGGCTATAACCGAAGGCTTCTTCCCGTCCGAGTGGAAAGAAGCTGACGTAATAGGGTTCCTCAAACCCCACAAACCCGCGACCCTCCCAACCTCTTATCGTCCAATAAGTCTTCTCAAAACATTTGGGAAGATCTTTGAAAGACTTATATTAGCCCGACTAAGATCCCTTATGGACGCCAAAGGGCTCCCCATCCCAGAACAGTTTGGCTTTAGAGCCAAACATTCTTGTACCCATCAAGTGCACCGCATCACCGAGCACATACTAGTCAAACGCCAACGCGGACTCAACACCGGAGCACTCTTCTTGGACGTGGCAAAGGCCTTCGATAAAGTCTGGCACAACGGGCTCGTATACAAGTTATACGGACTCGGAGTGCCCGATCGTCTCGTATGCATAATACGAGACTTCCTGAGTAATCGGACCTTTCGCTATCGCGTCGAAGGCATGTGTTCGACAACGCATCCCGTTCGAGCCGGGGTGCCTCAAGGGTCGGTGTTGGGCCCAGTACTTTTTACGCTCTACACCAATGACATGCCGCGAGTCAAAGATGTAGAACTTGCCCTATTTGCCGACGACACCTGTCTCTATACAGCAGGCAGAACATCCGAAATTATCCATCGACGCCTCCAAGCTGCAGCCATCACCATCGGTGACTGGTTTCGGCAATGGAGGATCGAAATTAATCCCGCCAAGAGCGCGGCTGTCCTTTTTTCGCATAAAAAAGTAGATAAACCATCCCCCGTTAAACTCATGGATAGTCCGGTACCATGGGTGAACAAAGTTAAATATTTAGGTGTCGTCCTTGACTCCCAACCTAGATTCAACCAGCACGTGACTCGGGTCAAGAACCGGGCGGCCTTCGTACTCGGTCGCCTCCATCCGCTCCTCAAGAAAACGTCTAAAATGTCCCTTCGGAACAAGGTGACTCTATATAAGGCAGTAGTTCGCCCTATCATGACGTACGCGAGTCCAGTCTTCGCACACATTGCTCCGAAGCAAATACACCGGCTTCAGGTCATCCAAAATCGAATTTTGCGCAGAGCCACGGGAGCACCCTGGTACATGCGCAATATCGACCTACATGTCGCTTTAGAGTTGCCCACCATCGCTCAATTCCTGAAGTCGGCGTCGCGCCGATACTTCGATTCCGCCGCCGCGCATCCCAACCCGCTAATCGTAGGTGCCGCCACCTACAGACCCCTGCCGCTAGGTACGTTCCGCCGCAATCACCGTAGACCGCGACACGTTCTCGATTTCCCTGACGATGAGACGACTATCGCCATCGAAAGGATTAAAAAACTTCGCAAACACACCAACACACACTACTAACAGGCAAACATATACTAGGTTCCGCCACGTACCTGGCAGGTTCTCCCCAGTTCAAGATAGAAACGTTGCTGGAGTTTCTTCCGCCACTTCTTCTCCCAGCGCCAACGCTTTACGAAGTGGTAGCAACGATAGCTCTAGAGATCCCCCCAGTCAGATAACAGCTACCGATCGAGCCGAGGTCCGGCCCTCTCGGGCACCCTCGAATCGGGATGCTAAACGCGTGTTGAGTGACAGCCCAAGCCGAGGTCCCCTCTCGGGGACCCTTAAGCCTGATCACTCCATGTAGCCCCCGCCAAAGCGCCCTAAGAGCTAGGCGGCCTCCCAAACCGGTGAATTAAATAGCGTGACGGCCCGAGCCGAGGTTCCTTCGGGAGCCCTCGAGCTTAGTCACCATAACGCGTAATAATAAATACGCGAGGTTCAGGTTAGGCGGCTCGAGCGCCCAGCCACCTCAAGTCCGTCGGAACTGTAAAGGCCCCTAAGGCCAACAGTGGCTCATAAAGCCCAAAAAAAAAAAAGAAGTTGATTAAAAAACTTGCAACGTGAACCCTGTTTATTTCAATTAAGCTCACGGACTCAAAATACAACCGCTTTGAATTTGTACATGGTCCTTCGTTGCCGAATAGTCAGCCAGTGAGTAGAAGGCAGACATTCGACTCGCGCGCGAGTGTTGTGAGTGAAGTTTTTTTGGAAAACCGAACTTGCGGACGTTGGATCGACGTCGCAACCGCAAGTTCCAGGAGCCGATCGAGGCTTCGAAGAGCATTCGTGCTCTGAAGTATTAGAGCTAGCACTGTCATTACTACAAATATTATTATTGAATTTCATTCATTGTAATAGAATTATTACTATCATTGATGTCGTTATTATATATTTGTGTTATTAATAGCTTACGGTAACTGAAATACGAAATGTATTGTTTACATTTTAGAATTAGAATTAAAATAAACCCTTTGATTTTGCTGATCACTTTAATATAACATATATATTTATATTGTTATGAACACACAAACGAACTAACGCCATCTAGCGTCAACTATTAAAACCACTAAGAAAAAGATGGCGCGTAACGCAAAAATGTTTTCACTTCAATAACATAGAATTCCAAAAAATTTAATATCAGACTCCGGATATTGTTTTTACAAAATAATGTGAGTTTTATACAAGCATATTAATATATGAATATTAATGCTCTTTATACATTATTCTCGACATCGTAACAGCGAACAGACTAGGCCTTTTACAATAGAAAATAGTACATGACAAGTCTAAAGATATATAGGATGAGCTTTGGCAAATCAAAATATATTAAATCCTATCTATTATTTAATATTATCATATGATAATCTTGTTAAATAATAGATTATTAAGTATTTCACAAGTCCGCCACCCCGCATGAGGTCGCGTTGACTATGCCTTAATAGAGGATATTGTGCAGAGGCCTTTGCCCAGCAGTGGGACATTAATAGGCTATTACTTTAAATTAAAGACCTAAATTCATGTGTACTTAAAGTAAACAAAAGAAGGCCGAAGTTTCTTTCCTCCTGGACAGGTCTAGTTTAGAAATTTTAAATTTTTATCGCGCTAATACTGCACTTAAGATTACATATTTCAAGGTCCGGTTTATTGAACCGTCGGTAGTTCTTTGACGTTCAATAAGCGTATATCGAATGAAGAAATTCTAACTTCGACTTTGACGATTACGAACGGGGTGAGTTATTGAAAAGAGGAGAATCGAGTGTGTCGATATTGTTTATTTGTTTAATAACGATGCGACGACAGTGGTCGGGCGTTGTGTCGCTCCACTTTGCTGTTGGCGCCGCACGCGGGGCGGAGGGGGGGCGGCGGCGGCGGCGGCGGGGCGGGGGCGGGGGCGGGGGCGGCTGCAGCTGCGGCGGGGGGCGGGTAGTGGCCGTGAGTGCGCCGGTGGTTGTGCAGAGCGGTGCCCTGGAACGTCGAGCACAGTTACACGGGTTCAGTTCCTTGCGCCGGCGTGGTGGTGTCCAAGGGAAATCGACTATCGACAAATGAAATGTATACTTCTTATTGCGATGAATAAATGATTTGATTAGAAATGCGTTATCCCATTCCGTTCGGCTCGTTTCGCTCTGTCTAACGCACTATGGCCAGCTGGATAGAATGGGGAATTTTTTTTTTCGAATTCGTAACAGAATAATTTTTAAATTACGTAAAACTATAAGTTTCATTTGGTTACTCTGAAACGCTGTTAATTCTTTTAATTGCGCCTGTTATTTGAAATATAATATACTGGACCATACTTTAGCCTCAATTTATCCGAAGGAGGGTCTCCAACAGCTTTGAATTTTCCCAGTACTGAAATTCGAAATTGACATTTGCAACGTCCATAGTATTGCAGATGCAATGCCGTCCTTTGCGTTAGTGACGAGCATGTCGCGGCCTTCCATCTCGCGACGAGCCCATCACCCGTGCGCAGGAGCGTCCCAATCACGCGACAAGCTGGTCACCTGTATGAAGCGGTCGCCGCACACCTCGCAGATGTACGGCTTGTCGCCCGTGTGGCGGCGCACGTGAAGGTTGAGGTCGTTGCTCTGGGAGAAGGCCTTCTCGCAGTACGGGCACTTGTAGGGCCTGAGGCCGGTGTGGACCCGCGTGTGACGCGACAGCTTGTTGCTGCGCGAGAAGCCTGCCAGTGATCGGAACCGAAGTCATTTTCGATCTGTGAATGTGTGAATTATGTCGGTCATTCATATTGATCGACATAGTTCACACATTCATTGAGAAAAGTTGGCTAATTCAACCGAAATAGCTTTGCATACTCTGTTATTAATTTATTTACTTCACCAACAAGATACACATCGAAACAGGCTTAAAACATAAATTAGTACATAGTATCTTAACTAGATGGTATCTAAATTACAGGTGGAACGACATTCAAAAGTTTTTTTATATTGACAACTGCTAAAAAGAATAATAATTGAAGTATGTGAAATGCTAACAAAGAATTAATACAGTAATTGACTTTACACTAAAATAAACATGTAATATTCGACATAAAAATACCACAAAACAAAGATGTTTAATATTATTAATGATTCATCTTTTTTAAATCTTGCCTTACCGTATTTATTGATTTCAGCGCCATCTATTAGTGCTTTTGGTTGGCATTTACGGAGGTAATATCCGAGCCTTGTTTTTGATTACAAACAGTCATAGTAATGTTTACGTCTCTATGGTGCAACCCGTCCGTTTTGAGAATTCATCAAAGTTAAATGAAAACGAAAGAAAAAAAAACACAATTCAACAAATATCCATTGCCATTGGGTTTCAAATGCATCGTCTCGTTAATACATTAAGCTATGCGAATTCAATCTGATATACGTCGTGTTTTAAGTATGTGGTATCCGTTACAACGATAGAGGGCGCGGCAGTGCTGAGGGGGATATTTGTTAAAATGATAGACGGCGTTGCAATGCTAAGGGGATATTTGTTAACCGACTTCAAAAAAGGAGGAGGTTTCTCAATTCGACCGTACATTATTATATTAATGTGTGTTCGGGGATAACTTAGTTTAACTTTTATGAACCGATTTGATGATTCTTTTTTGTTGCAATTGAGATATCTCAACGGTGGTACCATGAAAAGTAACCCAGATTTGATGATGGCATCTCAGGGAAATCGAAGGCAATCCTCACATGTTATAGATGTTGACAATGCTTTATTTTCCTGTTTGCAGTGGGTTTTTTTTTTGTTCAAAACTATTAGAATAATAGACGGCGTTCAGCATTGTTGCTGAGGGGGATATTTGTTAGAATGATAGAGGGCGCGGCAGTGCTGAGGGGGTACGTACCCTTCCCGCAGATGCCGCAGACGTATGGCTTCTCCCCGGTGTGGGAACGCCTGTGGCACTGCAGGTCCGAGGACCTTGGGAAACCTGCAAGTAGGCAAACACAACGTCGACGGCTTTACGGAAAGAACGCAATATTCACAATAAATATTTTCTAGTCAACTGTTAAACATATTTAAACATAATTTTATTTTGTAAATAAATACATATTATACATTTATAAACACAGACACTGGAACAACACTATGTTCCAGTATATATGTATCTTTCCAGTAGTGGGATCAAACCCACACCCTCTAGCACAAGTGGCAGATTCAATACCCACTACGTCGATCGGGTCGTCAAGTTCCCAATACACGGCAACTCCAAGTGAATACCTCAAAACGCATTTCTATGCGCCATTGTCGTAACGGATAAACGTGCAAATAGATTGGACCTATAGCCATTGTTTTATATTAATCATCATATAATCATTTTATCATCTAACATATCATAATAATTTTCCATCATGAAAATCATTTTAGCATGTGATCACATAATGAGTGTTGCTTAAAACTTAACATCACTTAGCCAATATTTCCAAGCGTTTATGTAGCTTTTAATTGGTAAAAAACTAAGACCCGTCTCCTTTAAATGCAATCTTTGTTAAGAGCTTTCTTTTATTGCTCAAGGCTCTTCTTATGTGACACGGTAGTAACGGAAATCGACCCAATCATACCTCTCGAGTAATAACTCCTTATAACCGTTACGTGAATCCGTGGCGCAGTTGTCAAGGTAGTAGGTTCGATTCTCACACGAAACGACCATTTTAAACTTATGTACGTAAAACGTCCTCACAACGCAGGATGTTGTTATCTAACAGTGAGGGGGCAATGTTTTCGAAGGGGAGCCTACAAGAGACCTTTCCGATTAAAAAAAAACATGTTTTAAGCCAGCCGCGGCCAAAGACAGGCGACAAGGCCGTTGCGAGGGGGGTGTAGCCCATTGGCGCAGCGGGCGGGTGCCCTCGTGCGGGTGTGGGGTTCGAACCTTTGTCGCAAAAGTCGCACTTGTAGGGCTTCTCGCCCGTGTGGCGGCGCATGTGCACTATCAGGTTCGAGGAGTTGGTGAAGCTGCGGCCGCAGTACAGGCACAGGCAGGCGCCCGCCCGCCCCGCTGCGCCCACCCCGCCGCCGCCCTCGCCCCCGCCCCCGCCCCCTCCCGCGCCCGCACCGGACCCCTCGTGCACCCGCATGTGGGACCTGCGAGCGCAACACACCAATTGGCTTACGGACCTCTCTGGCAGAAACACAAATTGGACACCGCCCTCGTGTGGATTGCGTGGAACAAGTGAATCGTTTAAGGGGCAACGTATACGGGTTTCACTAAACGGAATCCGGGGAAAAACGTTCAAAATGAATCGGTCGCTAAACTCGATAAATTATTATTATTATACATACTTTATTGTACACCACAAAAAGTTTTATACAGTTCATATAAAATAAATCTTAAAAGCTAGGTATAATAAGGCGGTCTTATCGCTAAAGAGCGATCTCTTCCAGACAAGCTTAGGACAAGGAAAATAAACTTATGACTAGTGGGAGGTGGTGTGCTTAATAAACTTAATAATAATAAAATAAATTATTATCCCAATAGTCGTGTCTGCGAATGGGTTAATCCCAGTCAGCCTCTCCGAACATCTGAGGCGACTAGGACTCCGGGACGGAACGCTCCAAGCTCAAATGCAGAAGGCGGTGCTCCTCGATACCGCCCGCATCGTCCGCCGGTTTCTCTCCCTTTCACCCTAACCCTCGGCCGTTTGGTCTCCCCTGCCGAGGGCTTCCGTCTGGTTGGGTCCTATTTATTTATGTATTACATATTATATTTATATCTGTATATTTAATTTTATTCATAATATTTATTTTATAGATGCAATATATATTTATGTGTTTATTATTTATCCCCAAACCCAACCAGACGAGAAAACAAATAAATACCCCCAAACAAAATAAATTATAATAAACATACATAAACATAAATAAATATATAATATATATAATTAACATAAATAAATATATGAAAGTATAATAGATTAATATTGTCAATGTTACCTATGGATAAACCTAACGTTTGTTTGATTATTTAAAGGTTAACACAGTCTGGAAATGAGCTGATCGCTCGGGGCTCATTCAAGTGGAATTGAATTTATTGTATACATGTTTGTTATATTTGTCGAATTATATTTAAAAAAAAAAAACGTTGACCCGCTGAGTTTCATCGCCGGTTCTGCTCAGGTCAGTGGCTTTTTTTCCGAACCGTTAGTAGTGGTTTTTGACAATCAATAAGTAAGTGCAATACTCCTATATTGAATAAAGATATTTGAATTTGACCTCTTCTTGAGCTGGGCGGTCCACCTGATTGCTAAGTGATGACAATTGCATACCTTACAATAAATCCGGCTACCTATACTACGCGTACCTATATATATAGATAGATTTGGTTACTGTAGATAGAATTATGAAGTAAGTATTATGGAGCTAATGTCATATACCTGTCGCTAGTAACTTAATCTATCGGTAGATTAAATTTTTTAACATCTGAAAAGTTGCCAAACGAGCAGACGGTCCACCTGATGTTAAGTGAATACCGCCGCCCATAGACATCTGCTACACCCGAGGGTTTGCAGATGCGTTGACAACCTTTTTGGAAATTGGGCTCCGGCTACCTCACTCACCAGACGAAACGCGAAAGTATTTGTCATACTTCCACTTTACGCCGGTCTTCTGTGAGGTCGTGGTACTTACCCGGACGGGCCTGCCCATTCGTGCAACAGCCGAGGCTGCTGCGTGGCTCTACCACCCTTACCCCCTTATTTAATATTGAAACTTATAGACTGCTTCGTACCCACCGATCCGTTCCACCATTCCGAGGTGGCTGGTGAGCTGTCAGAGCTTGGCAACGCACTCACGGTAAAATTTCGGTGAAATATCGCTCACCGCAAGTTGTCGCTCCTGTGGAATCGTTTCTTGCACACCTCGCACTCGAAATACTTGTCTCCCGACTTGTGGTTCTTCGTGTGTTTCGCCAGCAAGTCCTTCCTGCGTGACGGAGACGGGATTTTTATTGGATTTTTATTGGATGGTAACGACACGCTGTATATTAATTGCCGTCGTGGGTTCGATTCCCACACGGCACAACTGTTATGATATCGAATGTGAAATTTTTGCTCGCGCTTTCCCAAAGCCCTCCATCGCCCTTATAAACTTCAGAATACCGCATATGGCGAACTTTCGAAATATCTTTTGTCCCGTCCAAAATATTACAATTTTTTACTCGAGATGTTCACCGCTGAGCGCGCGATAATTGAGCACTGAAAACCAACGATGTCATTGACGTCGGCACCGGGCATCGAACTGGGGTTCGGGCTCGAGTATATTGAATTAAAACCGAGCACCGGGTCGAGGTGCCATAAAGGCTCGAGCCCGCCACGATTCCGCTTCGGACCGCTCCCTCACCCCCTGCAAACACCCCACTCCACCACCACCCCTTACCAGTACGAGCGCGGGGGCGGTTAGAACACTCGCACGCCCCCTACAGCACGCCCCCTACAGCCCCTCGAAACACCTCAGCCCCAGTCCAAGCACTCGCACGCCCCCTACAGCCCCTCGAAACACCTCAGCCCCAGTCCAAGCACTCGCACGCCCCCCCCACACGCCCCTCCAGCCCCTCGAAACAACCTCAGCCCCAGTCCAAGCACTCCAGCCCCCTACAGCCCCTCGAAACACAGCACTCGCACGCCCCCTACAGCCCCTCACCAGCCCCAGTCCAAGCACTCGCACGCCCCCTACAGCCCCTCGAAACACCTCAGCCCCAGTCCAAGCACTCCCGCGCCCCCTCCCACCAGCCAAAAGCCAACCTGAAGAAGAGCCTGCTGCACGTGTCGCACTGGTACCGCTGGCCGTCCGCCCTGGCGCCGGCGACGAACTTCACGGAGACGCTCTGGCCCACGTGGCTGCGCAGTATGTGCTTGTTGAGCGTCACCTCGTGGGCGAAGCGGTGCCCACACGTGGGGCAGAGGTGGTCGCGCTCGATGCTGGCGCACCGGCCGCGGTGCCGCTCCGCCGACTTCACGCTGGCGAACACCTGCCGACGGTAATACGTATGGAATAATATAGATGTGCTTAAGACGAATCTGTCCGCGTTTATAGTTTTTTTTTTTTTTTAATTTAAGTACCGCAAATGTCTTACTCTTTATCCGTACGATATTTATTTTTTGGTTATTTTTTTAAAAATACTGTTATTATTTATTTTTCTTCCATCAACTACTGTAATAAGCCTTTGTTAGCGATTTAATATAGTTTAATAATTTTTTTTTTGCTGTTGTCATCATAAAACCTTTGGAATGTCGTTTCAACTGTAATTGAGATACCATTTACTTTAAGATACTATTTACTTATTTATGTTCTAAGCATGTTTGATGTGTATCTTGTTGGTGAAGTAAATAAATAAATAAATAAATAAATCCACTGTTGAACTTGTGGCCGAGAAATGTGTCCATAGATATTTCACTTGGCGAACACCTGCCGAGAAACATATCGACATACAGGGTGGCATTTCTAAGTGTATCCATTTTTTTTTTATTAGATTCTAGACATAAATAATGTTATATAAAAAAATGATAAATATTTAAAATCACTCTTTAAGTTATTAATTACATTCATTTGAACTTATCTCAAAAAGTGCGTGATTTGTACGCTCATTTATTTTACGCGCGATCATTCATAACTAACACGCACACAAGTTCGTGCACAGTAAAATTTAGGTATTTATGAATGACTACCGCATTGTCAACACGTTTTTGTTTTAGGGAATAGAATGGCGACAATAAATGAACACACGTCTAACGCTACTTGCCCATAATCATAAAAAAATATTAACGTTTAACAAAATCCATAATTAAAAAAAATATTTTTCAAACAAACGAATTAAGTAAAAAAGAAACAAAATTTGTAACATCCTATACAACTCGCGCCACAGCGTCATATTACGAGCCTCTCCTTCTAACAGTATGTTTTGTCTCTTTTAAATTCATTCAACCCATTCATATGCTTTGTGACCTTTACAAATGAACTTTACGTTACACTTTTATAGGTAAGGGTGTTCTAAAATTGTTTGTTTTCGAAAATTTAATAACTCTGTAAATATTGGTGTTCAAAGAATTCAAATGTTTAATAAAACTTTAAAAAGTTATCCCCCTATATGTGTGTCCATTTATTGTCGCGATGGTAATGACTCTGTATACTCTTTATACAACACCCCCCCCCAACTACCACGCACCTTGTTGCAGAGGGCGCAGCGGTGCGACAGCTCCGGGTGGCAGGTGTCCACGTGGGCGGCGAACGATGAGGGTGTGGCGAAGAGTTCGCTGCAAGAGCCGCAGGCCTGCCACGCAGCCGCCGCCTCCTGCAACAGTGGATATTTTTTCAAACGAATTGCACAAATTCAAATATTACATGCATCAGATTGTAGTTTAACAATTGTAACCTAAGTACCTACTATAAAGGATATTTCGTTTGTAATTACTGTCTGATAGAGGTAATTTTTTTTTATTTGTTATATTTTTATTCTTACTGTAATGATTCATTTATTTCGTTTTAATTTTTTTATTATTAATTCGTATTATTAATTAGTAATTTCAATTTAATTCTTAATTTGTAACGCTGTTGATGATTTGTATATTGTTTGTGCCTATAATTGGAGTAGCACCAATCTTGTGTTTTGGTTTCCTTTTTTTTTTTTAACTTGTGACGGTGTCTACTCTGTTGGTGCAACTAATAAACAAATAAATGAATAAAAAAACAGCGAAAACGTCACGACCTCACCGAAAGGGGGCGAGCGGGGGCCGAAAATGCCCCCCCCAGCGGTACAAAAACGCGTTGCGAGTTAAGCGGCCGAATGGCTAAGCGTTGTGATTTGGTGACAATGACATTATATACAAATACGAGGTAGATACGACACTGGCCGAAACCGATACGTTCAAATTACACCAATTGATTGTTTGGACAAAGTTAGTGCGCCATTGTTTCGTCTAAAGTAAAAAAAGTAAAGTAACAGCCTATTCATGTCCCACTGCTGGGCAAAGGCCTCCTCTATACAGAGGGTATCAGGGCATAGTCCACCACGCGGCCTCACTGCGGATTGGCGGACTTCACATATTTTCGACATATATCTATTTTTTTTGTTATTATTTCGAAAATAAGCAGGTTTCCTCGCGATGTTTTCCTTCAACACAGAGCACGTGACAAGTCAGCACTTAAAGTTAAAAACTTCATTGGTGCCGGCACCGGGGATCGAACTCAGGTCGCTCGAGTGTATTGAATTAAAGGCGAGCGCCCGAACACTGAGCTATCACGGCGCTCGTCTACAAAAAGTAAATAGGTCGGTCGTTAATGGGGCAAAGTGTGCGCATATATAATAAAGTCCCAGAGTCGATATTAACTCTGCCGCTTGACCAATTTAAACGTAAAATTATAAGTCAACTTACGGTTAAAGCAAAATTATCATACCGTTGCGGAATATCTCGACGACGCCAATGTGTGGAGTTAATACTGTTGACGTGAGTAACTTAGGCTAGAATAAGACTATAAACCCGTATGTTATATTGTAAACTGATATTTTTTTAAAAAGCAACTGTTGAATTCCTTGCCGGTCTCTTCTCAGCAAAAACTACTTTCCGAACGGGTGGTATCTTACGAACCTACATACAGGGTGGCTTTTCTAAAAGTGCCCAGTTTCAAACAGGTTTTTTTCCCAAAAAAAAAAAAAAAAAAATGAGTTTGCACATAAATCACGCACTTTTCGAGATAACTTCAAATCTATGTACTTAATTAATTACGAGTGATTTTAAATATTTATCATTTTTTATATAACATTACATATTTATATCAATTATTTATAGTGCTAATCTCTGCACTTAAGATTGAACATTTAAATTTGTAGAAAAAGATTGTAAAATGTAGATAAAACACGTTAAGATTTTCGGCGGTGTGGCAATCAGCCGTTTAGCTCAGTGGCCGAAGCGTAGGCCCGCGAATGCCGAAGTCGTGGGTTCGATTCCTACACCGGCCGCAATCTTTTCGTACTTTTTCTACAAATTTCAACATTATCTATGTCTAGAAATTAATTTAAAAAAAAAATGGATACACTTAGAAAAAAGCCTCCCTGTGTAGATTGGGCGGTGCAATGTAACTTAAGATGAAATAAATAAAAAAAATAAATAAATAAATAAATATCCCACCGGGTTACTGGTAAGGTCCAGCAGTCGATGCAGTTCCCTCTCGATCGTGAAGCCGTCGCGAGCCTTGCCTGATAATACGACGACGTCATCCTGAAATCAAAATTGGGGAACATTAAGGGACAAAGGTGAATTGACAGTAAATGCACGTCCCGTCCCGCCGTTGGGAGAGTGCCTTCTCCGTTACAGAGATCCTGTATAAAGGGTGTTGGGGCCACAGTGCCCATATCTTCGAAATAACGTTTTTTATGGTTCCGTACCCAAAGGGACCCTACTACTATGACTCCGCTGCATGTCCCTCGGTCCGTCACCAGGCTGAGATGTTTGTGAGTATGACATAAGATATCATAAACACTTAAACAGTGATAATTGTCACATTTGAAATCTTTCACAGGTTTTGTATCCTGTTGCCGCTTTAACAACAATTAAAATACAAACAACAGAATAAAAAAAATATTTATGTGGGACTCCAATACAACAGACAATTTTTTTTGTCGTATTTATTGATAATAGCACGGAACCCTTAGTGCGCGAGACCGACACGCATTTTGAGCGTTTTTTTTTATATTTTTAAATTAATATTTCGAAAATGCGCAGGTTTCAGGATATAAACATTGACTATAACAAATTACTTGCTTCGCGCACCAAACACGTCGCGTACCAAACACGTCGCGTACCAAACACGTCGCGCACCAAACACGTCGCGTACCAAACACGTCGCGTACCAAACACGTCGCGCACCAAACACGTCGCGTACCAAACACGTCACGTACGAAACATTTGCGGTACGTACTTCCTGCAAGCGACCGCACTGCGATTTGTCCTCCATGCAGTGGTGGACGTCGAAGTATTTCTTCTTCAGATACATCTTCTTGCAAATGACGCAGCAAAGCACCTTTGTGTCTGCAATGGGAGCCGGTTCAGCGAAATTGTTTTGTGACAAACGAGGGTTTTTTTTATGCAGGAAGGTCGCAAACGAGCCGGACATTTGCAACTGCCATAGGAATGCAGAACCGCTGCCTCTCCTTGACAGTCTGCCCTGGCTACCTCACTCGTCAGACGAAACGCAGAAGTGTAACACTTCCACCTTACGCAGGTCTTCCGCGAGATCGTGGCACTCCCCCGGACTGCCCATTCGTGCAACAGTCTTCACTGTTCCATGAACGGTTAGTTAGGATAACGCTTAAAAAATTGCCCTGCAACTAAACGCAATTTTTTTATAAGCATAGTCACGGTGTATTAACACGGATATTTCTAGAACCTTGGAACTAATGAACAAGCAGAATTCTCATCAGATTTTTTGCGTTTTTATAATTTTTTATATCATTAGAAAAATGCTCTTATGAAAGCCGGTAATTTTGTTGGTAATCCAAAAGGAATAAATAAAAAATAATTTATAATTTTGAAATGTCATTACTTTGTAGGTAAATTTTCGCTTCATTTGAAACTTTACCGGTACAATATTTAACTTTAATAGAACATATTCATGAGAACAATTTAGTGCAGATACTGAAAAAAAAAATCACCTCTCCAACCTCAAGGCTTTTAGCCCGGGAAAATGCGCAAGACCACTGCGTGATTTAATATATTAAATCGCAACGGCATTGGAATATTATAAATATTACTATTATATAAGATTAAATATTAATATTATATTATTAATATAAATATTACATAAATCATTGTCTTAGCACAAATTTTTATCGTTAAGTTTGAACAATTTCAGTTCAAATTTCCAGTGTGTTTCCATTTCAGCCCGGAAACTCTTTCGACTATTAATATATCATAACTTTTCTTTTTGAAAATAAACACATATTATATTAAACATATATAAACACCCAGACACTGGAGAAACACTATATTCATCACAAAACATTCCTCCAATAGTAGGGATCGAACCCACACCCTTTAGCGCAAGAGGCGGATAAACTAATCCCCACAAATTCGCCATTAGACTAGCGTTACAAACTAAAATATAAACTAACTGAGGTGCAATGCAATCTTTGTCCTAATGAATTCTTGGATAGCTGCCAGAAAAAAGTCAACTTGGCAATTTTCTCAAGGTTGTGTGCGCTAATTGTGATGTAACAAAGTGGTACTTTTAACACGGCCGGCCTGTCCAAAAAATGTTTGAATAGCGTTCATCGTCACCTCTGTGCTCGCACATAAAATGTGTGCTCAAATCCTCTTTTGTCTTGAACTTGCCCGTGCAGAAAGAACAGTTGAGATGCTTCACCGGCACTGTTTTCAGGTAGAAGCCGTTCTCTGACAGCTTGTTCAGTATCGTCTGGCGAATAAGGAGCGAAGTCAAAGCCGAGGTCATACAACACAATGAGTATACAGCGTGTCGTTACCACCGCGACAATAGATGAACACACGTCTCACGCTACTTGCCGATAATCATAAATAAATATTAACGTTCAAAAAATCCATAATTAAAAAAAATATATTTTTCAAACAAACTAATCGGGTAAGTAAAAAAGAAACAAATTTTGTAACATCCTGTACAACTACAACTGACTGATTCATACATTCAGAGACTTTTTCATTCGTTGCCACAGCGTCGCATTACAAGTCTCTCCTTCTAACAGTATGTTTTGTTTCTTTTAAATTCATTCAACCCATTCATATGCTTTGTGACCTTTACAAATGAACTTTACGTTACGCTTTTATAGGTAAGGGTGTTCTAAAATTGTTTGTTTTGGAAAATTTAATAACTCGGTAAATATTGATGTTTAAAGAATTTAAATGCTTAATACAATTTTAAAAAGTTATCCTCTATAAGTGTGTTCATTTATTGTCGCGATTGTAAAGACACGCTGTATAATGTCAATACACTTTAAATTATACACTTACTGAACATAAGAATAAATGAAATAACAATCTTATAATACAAAACTATAATCTTATATATAAAATGGATTGCTGTTCGTTAGTCTCGCTAAAACTCGAGAACGGCTGGATCGATTTGGCTAATTTTGGTTTTGAAATATTTGTGGCAGTCCAAGGAAGGTTTAAACGATGAGAAATTATGGAAAAATTGCATAGTAAATCGAAATGACAACAATTTTATCTTCCCATACAAACTGTACCTGTCAACCTGTCAACTATGTCTGTCAAACACTTCCAAATTCCCTAGAAATAATTTATATGGCAAAACAACGTTTGCCGAGTCAGCTAGTAAAGTAATATATCTTAATATACAGATGTTAAATTGGAAGTCTCTTTCTACTTTTCAAAGTTACTAAGAACTACTTTGTCAAGTAATTCTCATGAGGCAGCCGCAGAAAACCTTTTTGGTGCATAATTTTTTACAATCTTAATGTTATTCTTCTTCTTTATCTTACTCCTATAATTTAATTCGCCGAATAACTATTTCTTTCTTTCTTTCTCTCGTTCAATTCCCCCACAAGATAACTATTTGTATGACCCAGAGACAATTGTTCAGATCTAGGTGGGATCTTTAGGTGCTTGCCCATGTGAAATTTATGTCTGTAAAACATCTTTACAGCGATTTTCGATGGGATAGAAAGAAATCTATTTGACAAGAAACAGACTGAAAAAAAAAATATTTATTATTTATTACATTGGTAGTTCCCACTTACCAGCCAACCCCTTCCTTATAAAATACATACATGTTATTATGTACTATTAGCAGAATGTGACTGTACTCACGTTGGTGACCATCTTCTTTGGCCTGCCACGCTTCTTGGGGCCCATTATCTCGGCATGACACTGCCACATGTGCTTCGTGAGACTCTCCGAGTCCATGTGGTTGGTAGCGCAGATGGGGCAAAGGGTGTTGGTGCTGCACTCATACTCAACTGGAACTTTAAAGTTATATTTCATTTTTATTTATTTATTACAAAAAAGGCGGACTTAACGCTAATGGCCTTTTTTTCCAGTCGACCTTAGGGTGGTGTGAAGGAAGTGAGGTAGGTGCACACATAATTTCATACGCTAAATAATCATATGTATATACATTATGAAGCTATGAATGATTATTCTGAAATGGATAGCCTTTATACTCTAAAAGCTTCTGTTCTTGGCATTCTTTGGATTGACCATTCGTTAATCCACATTCAAACTAAGGCTTTCATAGAAATAAACACCGGATTAATACAAATTATATTGGAGAGTTAGATATTTTACGAGATTTATAATAATAATAATAATAAAATAATAAAATATCTTTATTCACATAGACGCTTGCGCGTTCTTATGAAAAGTCAAAATTTTACAAGAAATTAACACGTTCGTAAGTTACCACCGGTTCGGAAAGCAGTTTCTGTTGAGAAGAAACCGGCAAGAAACTCAACAGTTGCTCTTTTTTAAAAAATCAGTTTACAATATAATAGTACAGGTACAATAGTCTTGTTTTAGCCTACGTGAGTATCAACAGTATTAACCCCACACATTGGCGTCGTCAAGATATTCGGCAATAGTATACTAGGCTTTAGCCATAAGTTTACTTTTAATTTTTCGTTTAAATTCATCAAGTGGCAGACTTAATATCGACTGTGGGATTTTATTATACATGCGCACACTTTGCCCCATGAACGACCTGTTTACTTTTTGTAGGCGAAATAATGGCGTAGTTAGTTTGTCCTTATTTCTAGTATGTAGTTTATGTCTGTCACTATTCTTTTGATAATTATTAATATTCTGTTTAACATACAAAATATTACAATTAATATATGGAGACGCAACAGTGAGTATATAATCTCTTAAAAAGATCTCTGAGTGTATTCCGGGCTCCGATGTTATAAATTGCTCGGACAGCCCTTTTTTGAATAATAAACATTGAATTTATATCAGATGCACTACCTCACAACAAAATACCGTACGACAAGATGCTGTGAAAATAACTGTAGTAAACAAGTCTGGCAGTGTCGATGTCTGATAGCTGCCTAACCTTCCTAATTGCAAAAACAGCGGAGCTTAACCTATTCGCAAGAGATGATAGATGGGGACTCCATTGGAGCTTTGAATCTACTGTGATTCCCAAGAATACAGCGGACTCAACCGGATTAAGGGTTACGCTATTCAATTTTAAGCTAAAACTTCGCCTTCTTACGTTGGGAAGGGCAAAAAGAAGGCATTTGGTTTTTTTGGCATTTAACACCATATTATTAATGGTAAACCAGTGGAGGATACGCGAAAGTGCACTATTCACGTCGTCATAATTCGATACATTTCGGTCAACCTTAAAAATAAGCGATGTGTCGTCAGCAAACAGTACAACATCACATAACTCACTGGCATAAAAGGGGAGATCATTTATATATACTAAGAATAATAATGGGCCCAAGATTGATCCTTGTGGGACACCCATTTTCATGGGGGACCCTGCGGAATTTACATCATTTATAAATACTTTTAGAATTCTATTACTAAGGTAAGAGGCAATGAGATTAAGGGCGATGTCACGAATGCCATAATAATCAAGATTTAGAAAGAGGGTTTTGTGATCCACGCAGTCGAAAGCTTTCGAAAGGTCGCAAAAAACACCTATTGCATCTTGCGACCCTTCCCAGGCGTTATAAATATGTTTGACAATCAAGTTGTCGATCTGCCTTTAGTGAATCCATATTGCTCATTGTGAATAATTTTGTTCATATTAAAATGTACTAAGAGCTGATTTAAAATTAGTTTTTCAAAAATTTTACTCAGAGATGGCAATATGGAGATGGGTCTGTAGTTTCCTGGATCATTTTTATCCCCACTTTTGAAGACGGGGATTATCTTACTAAATTTCATAAGATCTGGAAATATTCCAGAATCTATGCAGTTGTTAAAAATATTAGCTAAATGTGGTGCAATATATGGCATTATTGTGCTCATTAATTTTATGGACATGCCCCATAAATCCCCTGTATTCTTAAGATTAATAGAATTCAAAACTTTTATAATATCATAAGTATCTACATGATTAAATTTAAATGTGTGTGGACAAAAGGTAACATTATTTCTTAAAACGTTAATTGCATCTATGGGAGATGATTTTAATGTACATGTGACATTAACTGCAATTTCTGAAAAATAGCTTTCAAAACTACTTGCAATTTCATTATCTGTTGTTATGGGAGTATTACCTATAACCAGTTTTATAGGTTCCCTGAATATCTTGGGTCTTCCAGATATGCGGGTAATGATGTCCCATGTGGCTTTAATTTTATTGTTTGAATTTATTATTCTATTTCTTATATGAATAGATTTTGCCTGAATACAGACTTTTTTAAATATTTTGGAGAACATTTGTACCCTTTTATGAAAGTTGGGGTCATGATTCCACTGCCTCATATTATATAATTCATACAGTGAATCCCTACTTTTATATATACCCACTGTTGCCCAGTCACTTAATTTTAATTTTGAATTTTTAACAATTGTGCGCGATTTAAATGTATCATTATAAGAAGATATGAGAAAGTCAACCATTGATTTATAAGAATCATTAGGGTTATTGACTTCTATATCTTTATTTAACATATGATGTGCCACTTTGTCTTTAAAAGAATTTATTCTATTAGTAGTGACTGGTCCACACTTGATCTTATATTATTTAATTGGTACTACATCCGGTTTCAAATTCCATTTTAGTTGCCAAAAGGATGGTTAAACCCTATGAATTGAACAGAATGATCTCCTTCGAAATGAATCTTCAGAATGATCAATTCCAAGTTTAACCATCCTTTTGGCAACTGAAATGACATTTGAAAAGCCATTTGGCAGCTGATTAGTTGACATCTGATAAATTTTTCAGAAACCGGTCATAAGTAGAGAAATAAAAACAATGTATTGATTTGGAATTGAAATGAAATTGTGGCTTTTTTCGGTGTGAAGGAAGCGAGCAGTTCATCTGTGGCTGATGATTGATTACTTCTATTTATGGACATCTACAACACCCATGTAGAAGCAGATGTATTGCCTCTAGAAGAGAACCGCAGATAGAACTCTAGAAATCATTTATTTGAAAGCGCAATATGAAAAGCTAAGAAAATGATTCCTACATTACTTGGGAGCACTTATTTGTACCCCTGTACAGAGGAGGCCTTTGTCCAGCAGTGGGACATATATAGGCTGTTACTTTACATACTTTAATATATTTGTACTTTGTTTACTGTAAAATGTTTGTTAAGACTACAGCGAGTTCCTCTCGGAATGTAAATTACCATTGATGAATCGCTTCCGTGATTTTTCCCGTGAATTCTCCAATTCAGAGTCTGTACTGCAAGTCTTTACCAGCGTCGTATCATTTGCTGCTTCGTTCTTTACTTCTGCCCAAGAAAGAAACAACATAATTAAGTAACATCTATTAAGGGTTTTTATAAATATTGTTTATTTGCCTTGTTACTATTTTTACTATTACTGTTCTCATTGTTTATTATTACTTTTTTATATATTAAAAGTTTATTTTATAATTGCTTTTTAGGGTTCCGTACTCATAGGGTAAAATGGGACACTATTTCTAAGACTGCTGTCTTTAATTCTATCACCAGGCTATATCTCATGAACCTCGATAGTCAGACAGTTGAAATATTCATATATGATTAATTTATTTCTGTTGTCGCTATAACAACAAATACTAAAAAATATATCATACTATATATCATATATAATACATCTGACACGATTCTTTTGCCGTTTTTATAGATAATGGTACGGAACCCATCGTGTGCGAGTCCGACGCGCACTTGGCCATTTTTTTAATTTAACTTTATATTTCTGTTCATTTATAATTTACATTTATGAGAGGAAACTTAACTGTTTGTACAATTTTAATTAATATTCATAAATAAATAAGTTCATAAGTATAAGTGACAATAGGGTAAGGCCCTAGTTTCCCGGCCAACCTTATCATCATCACAAAGCCAGGTAACTAGTCTTCACTAGGTAGTCACTCCAGCGTCAAGGTCACCGTTCAGCATATCTTCACGTCTATTATCCATCAATGTTGCAAAACCAGAGTGTCAAAAAACGTGTTGCCAGTGATAACATACGGAACATAAGTCTCAAGTACACTAATTTGTTCCATTACTTAAGAAAATAACTTATAATTTTGGATGTTGGCATATGTCAATAGAGGTTACAAAAACAATATTAGGTGAACTGCTTACCGATTTTTCTACCGTTTATCATGAAATTTTGTGAATAACACTCACCAGTTTCAACGAAAGTATTGGCGCCAACGGGTAGCGTTAGGTCAAACTCCAAATCGATATATTCCTCCTGATCATCAGACGGGAAGTTTTCCAATTTTACATTAGGATTTTCCCTCTACAAATTTAAGACAATATATTGTGGAAAAATTCACATCTTGTAATGTCAAAAGTTGCTGCCGCATAATCTTTATAGTAATGTTAACTTGATCAATATATATTATACATATATTTTAAAACACCGTACAAAACGATAGGTTTAGATATCCGCATCTACGACACTTATTTGTTCTATTTATAATACGTGTTCTGATACAATTTGTAAATAAATTGAATAAACAATATTTAAAAAAAATTATATAGGTATGTGTACATGGAAAATCTAAAGCCGATATGAAAAAAAAAAAATTTGACGTCTTTATGTACGTAGGGACCGTCGATATGTTTCGTTTGTCAGGCAGCGCAGGTATGGTTGCATGATGATCTATGCCCTATACCCTGTGTATAGCGGAAGCCTTTGCCCCGTTTTCAGTGGAAAAAAGTAGGCCTAACTTTTAGAAAAAAATAAATTTCTTATGCGAAAATTTGCCAAACGAGCAGACGGTTCACCTGATGTTAAGTGAACACCACCGCCTCTATGTATGACAATATGGCCTCATTTTTTTAAAAGATTATTTTTAATTTTTTTAAACATTATGGACACCTTAACAAATTGTGCCTTACTGTTTCAATACAATAACCGATTCACAAACACTAAAACTTTTCACTGAAGGCATAATTCCTAAACCGCTTATCAATAGGGTGACCACTGTTAACGAGACAAACAAACCATGTTTGAATTGATATTTTTCTGGTTATTTCTTATCAAAATAAAATATTAATATTTTTTTGAGTTATGGGCATGCTCAATTAACATTATGTCAAAGTATATACTTCATCTAAAAATCGACCTTTTTTTTCTAATTAATTTTAAGAACTACTAGTACAAGCAAAATAGTAGTGCTTCAGGTCAGGTGATTAAACAAAAATTGAATATGCCAAGTGGCACAAGTTTACTAGGTATTTAGATTGGACATACCTCACCACTCAATGTAGCAATATCCTCTGAAATCATGCACTCATTTTCCTTTTTTAATATACCATGTAATGCCAAATCAGATTCTTGGGATTTTTTCTTAAAATCATATGCATCAGCAGCCTTGGTTTTACACGCCTGACAGATTTTCTTTGGCAGTCTATCACTTTTATCAATCTGGAGTTAAGACAAATTAATAAATGTTTTACCTACATCTTAGTTTTTGAAGTCCGGAATATACATTATTTTGTTCCTAGCTAGCAAAATTTAATGTTAGCACAAGTATCCTTCTCTTTGTGCAGTTGTATAGCATATGTTACAAACAATTAAGTAAGGCAATTTTCAACATCATGTGGTAGAGCCACTCAATGGTGTTCACTGTTGCACGAATGGGCAGGTTGTTTTCACATAAGACTAATTTATATAACTAACCAATTTATATATCCAATATTAAAAAGATTTACTGGGTTGTAATGATGTTGTAATCTTTAAAAACAATACACAGTGGATTTTTCTACATGTTATTGTCAATTTTTACCATGGAGTATAAATAATAATCAGTATCAATAAACTATTTGAGATTTCCCATTATTTTTTTTTGTTCCGATGAGGTAGGTAATGCAGTTCACAGATGTCTATTAGTACAATTACTTTATTTCTTCCAAACTATGAGAAATAAACATAATACATAGACACCCCTTCATTGTATTGTGATGCTATCAAAGATGGTAACAAAAGTGGGTATTGTAGAGCAAATGAGCTGACGGTTCACCTGATGTTAAGTGATAACCCGCCACCCATGGACATTAGCAACACCCATAGGCTTGCAAATCTTTAAATAAAGTGGGCCCCCTCACAATCACCAGATGAAACGCAGAAGTGTAAAACTTCTACTTTACACCGGTCTTCTGTGAGGTAGTGGTACTAACCCGGATGTACCTGAACACAGCTACCACGGTTAAAAAAAGTTAGATTTTATTCCTACTGAGATTAAATTATAAGGATGAAACTAATATTCAAGAATTGTTAATTTTTTTAATGATTCATCATCAACCTATTTGGATATGTCAACCCCATGAATTGATAAAGTTGCCTCTTCCAACTGCTGGAGTAAATTAAAGAGTGTTAAAATCTAAAGTATATTATAATTTTTTACAAATAGGTACTATCCTTTTAAATTTTTTGTACTATCTTTTTCATCATACCTAAATTCAACCCTGGTGCTACCGTATACTAAAGCAATACCAATTTAATTTGTGAATATTTGCCTTCAACAGGCATTTGTGAAAAACAACGAAAACAGAAAAGGTAAATTCTGGTAGTATTCACAATTTCAAAAAATTTCCATACTAACCTTTATTCCTGTTATCGATGTTATTACGTGGTCCAGCGTAGTAGACTCTGAAAATACTTCGAAGATTGGAAACAACTCTATCTCTTTAGCTAAGCATGTTCGACAGATATCTTCTACTTTAATGTCTATTTTTTTTCTCGTTGAAGACATATTAATGATAAATATCAAATACTTTATTATGACTGCAATATTAAAGACCAGAAAATCATATTCAACTTATTTTAATACATAGTTGATAATTAATATATTACATATAAATATAACTAAATTTCATTTTACCAGTTTACCACCATAACCATAATTAGTATTAGTAACAACAGTAACACTAGGGACGTCAAAAAATACCAAGATACCGATATTAGTTTTCAATATATCGAGGCCAATATTGATATTTTTATAAATATCGATATATTGCTTCACTTTCGAAATCCGTAATACGTACTTTTCAGTGGCGAAATATATGGCATTATTGTGGTCATTAACTTTATGGACATGCCTATTAATCTTAAAAGTACAGGGGATTTATACCCCTGTACTTTTAAGATTAATAGAATTCAAAACTTTTATACCATCATAAGTATTTACGTTATTAAATTAAAATATGTATTGACAATAGGTAACATTATAATACATAATTAAATTTATTAATACATTAATTGCGTCTGATTTTAATGTACATGTGACATTAGCTGCAATTTCTGAAAATTAGCCTTTGAAACTACTTACAATTTCATTATCTGATTTTATGCGAGTATTACCTATAACTAGTTTTATAGGTCCCCTGATCCCTGAATATCTTGGGTCTTCCAGACATACGGGTAGTGATGTCCCATTTGGCTTTAATTTTATTGTTTGAATTTATTGTGCTATTTCTTATATAAATAGATTTTTGCCAGACTTTTTGAATTTATGCTTATTTTGACGCATTTGGAAAAAAATGTGAGATTAAAATTTATACACTACGCGCGCAAACTGAAAACCACAAAGCGATGATGAAGTTGGTTTGCATTGCAAAGCGACCAACTTAATCATGGCGACCGGCAACTTTTTGAGATTTAACTATAATTCCAAGTTATTTATAATTTTGGTAGTGACAAGAAAGTATCGACATATCGGGTATCATCCTAGAAACCTTTGTCCAAAAAAAGTCGTATGTCAAGTATTAAATGTTTAACACAAGGACTCTGAATCGAATTTGAATAAAATATCCTTTTTGTTATTTACAATTTTCCATATTTACCTTGAATACACATTTTGTATCAATATACCGATATCCAATACATCGATATATCGATACATCCTAATATAATGGATGATAATATCGATATATAGAATCAAAAATATAGATATATTTTCAACATCCCTAGAGAGTAAGGGTGATTCAGTGTTCTCTGCACCTGCAGATTAGACCTGCAGTTCTGCTTCTGACCTCAGCGAGCTTAGGCTGAGAGTCTAGGTCGGTGAACGGTCCGTACTTGACAATACTTAAAATTTTAACAAGCAAACACTTGTAATGTGGGAAGACGAAGATAGTTATTTATTTAATAGTTATTTAAGCATTCTGCCAACAGAAATCATACTTTTTATTTTCAAATATTTAACGGCAAAGGACTTAGTCAGGTGCCGAGGGGTGTGCCTAAGATTTAAACAGATAGTCGACGGGCAAACTGGGAGGGATAGGATTTGGCGGAAGCACTGCAAAATCGACTACCCTAATATTTACAAAATAGCGCGATACAAATCCCAGCCTGACTGTTTGTGGTACAATATTTACAGGTCATTGACCCTGTGGCCAAAGCTGGCGAGCGCTCGCGAGATTTACGAAGAGTTCTCCTTGGTGTCGAAAGTGAGCGAGGAAATTACTGATCTCAAGATACTGCGCAACGGTGTTATTGCTGTTCACAAGCAGAGCGGTATTTTTTACTACGACATTAAGACATTGAAACAGACAAATAGAGGCCCAATCGCTGGCCTCTATCTACGGTATACAGAAAACGATGATGTCATATTAATACATAGCCATCACTTACATATAATCGTATTAGATAAAATCACACTGCAGTCCAAATTCACGGCGACTGCAACCCTTGACGAGGTCAAAACCTTTATTCTAGTAGATCAGGATGTGTACTATGTGACACTGAGAGATGCGATATGCGTTTGCAACCTTAAGAACTACCGTAATAGGGTTATAACGCACTCAGAAGATGCAGTTATGTCGATCGGCTTCAGCCACAACAAGCTCCATGTGCTCACTTTCCAACGGAACGTGTACACGTTAAATGGGATGGATCTAACATTTGTCTGTGAAATAGGCCCTGACTGTAACCTACTGCACCAGTTGTATTACTATAATTTCTTCGAGACAATCGACTGGAGGATTTTCCATCAGTGGGTGTATATACTCAACCACAGAATTCCAAGTGGACCGCTGCAAAGTGTCGTCATCATCCGAACATATGGAGAAGTTGTTTTCATTGGATCCAACTGGGGCGTTTTGAGGATTTACAATGCCCCATTTACGGCCGGCGAATTGGACCTTTACAACAAAAAGCATACCAAACAATACAACTTCATGGAGAACAGCGACTTCCCCGTTAATTCAAAGTGTCCAATCCTCCAGATAGATGTCTCAGAGACTAAAGACGGTCACACAGTTGTTGTAGCGATGCCGAAGAAAATAGCAGTTCTTAATTTCACTCACCATTTCGAGAGAACTGTATCGGTAGCAACTTCGCCATATCAATAAGTAAAAAAGAAAAAAACTTAGAAGACTAAAGATTCTATATAGTTAATAGAATCCTCAGGGCATAAGGTAAATTATGGAACATAAAAGAGTCTGGGACACTTTAATGTAAAAGTCATAATCAAACTATGCATGCCTCATTGCAAATCATATTCAAAAACATATTTCATAATTGAGTCTTTATTAATCAATCTTGTTTTCCAATAAACATGATAGAACCTAAATATTTACTATCTACTTATAAAAATATTATCAAGGAAATTGCCAATATTTTCTAAATATATTAGAAGGAAAGTGTAGTCTAGTAATAGGGTTCAATTCATGCTGAACTTTAGAGAGGGCAATGAAATATTTGCATCCGAGTTTGTAAGGAGTACTTTGTGTGAGCCCAATGTAAAAGAATTTATGCAATGAACGGAATGCTTCGGGTTATCTCTTAATTATTATTTAATAAAACGGCACTACATATTTGCCTATATTTCTATTTTAACTTTCTGAACAATTTTGATTGGAGAAAGAGTAAAAACTCTGAGATGGCATTAACTCTTAATAGGAATTGAAATTATTTATTCATGAAGTAGTCTTAAAAACTTGGACTTGACTAATAAATGGACCATGTTGACATCCTAGTCGGGATAGTCAAGCAACATAATATTTTTAATAATTTATATCTCTAAGGCTAAGGCCCACCCGCAGCTGTAATGCATCAGATCATGATGATATCTCTTTCATATAAAACGTTTTCCATAATCAAATTTAAATAATAAGAAAATTTCCACTTTAATGTTGAACTGCTAGTTTCCTTTGTCATAAATACTTCCATAATATATAACGTTTTATCCATTATATTTAGCATTAATACATTTATACTAATTACAGTAGCATATATACAACATGTGGCAATTTTATGCAATATCAAAATTCATTCATTTAATAATGTGAATTTAAATAAGTAGTTTTTTCTTCAGTATATTTTCATAACTATCACAGCCAACATCTAATACATAGAACTAACATGTTTCAATTATCCTAAACATTGGAAATTGGTCTCAAATTTTCATTGTTTAATATTTATATAAATTTTCAAATCAGGAAACAACTTATACAAGCCTAATGTATCTTTCTTCGAGTAGGGCCTTCGGTTCGCGAGTGACCAATCCTTAAATTTTTCGGTTCGAAAACCTTAAAAACGGGTGCGAAAGCAGTGTGAGAAGATTGCGGTTATAATACCAAGTAGGAATAACCAGGTCAGTTCGAACCATTATTGTAAATTTTTAATTCGTATGTCATTGTTAACACCATGGAAAGTTATATATTTAACCGAACTGAGCTTTACACGAAACTTCTATACAATTTTAACAAAGGCAGCGATAGAGAAACGCACCCAGTGTTACCACCGTCGGCGAATCAGTCCAGAAGACTGTCTACCCGATGTTCGCGCACGATTATCAACGAACTCGTGTAATTGCTGTGTGTGTATGGTGCTTGCGTCCTTGGCCGGCACATATATGAGTAGCATATTGTCTTTCCATTGTGGCGTGGTGCTTTCCCAAGCATCACCCAGCCGAGCTATGTGCGTGATGCGGCCGACTCCGTTCCCATGACGACCGACACGATGCACTCCCAGTGATCGGTTCCTACTGAGACGTCGGGGCGGTGGCGCTCGGTAGCTCACCTCCTCGATGCTCCAGGTCCCGCCTTGAGAAGTTCCCCCGGTATAGGTTGCTGGTGCAGGTTCAGATACTCTCGGTTGCATCGTCTTCGCTTTCAAGCTGTAACTGGCTTTGCCCTTGAGACCTTGACGGCTTCTCTGTTCTTTTTGTTGCACTTGTAGGTGCAGTGCTAGATGCTGGCCAGCTTCTCGTTGATGAGGGTGACACTGCCTTGTCGAGAAGTGAGTGTGTCTTGAGCTCTGTTTCTAATTCCTGGGCGCCGATTTCCACTGGGTATATTTAGATTATCCTTAAACTCTATAGTATTACCATATACCACGAAAACGATACTATAATCGCCAGGAGATAACTTCCAAAATGTAGTTGTGATATGTCAAAAGTGGCCCGTCTGCGACGTGCGTTCAGGTGGTCCACCAAAGAACCTGCATACAGGTCCATGATGGTTCTCAAAAGGACCTCACCGTACTGACCTAATCGAAATGTCTGCTCGAATGTTTACGGTCGTAGCGCCACCCAACAGTATACGCTGTTGCACGAACGGGCAGGTCCACCCGCGTTAGTACCACGACCTCACAGAAGACCGGCGTGAAGTGCAAATGTTACACTTCTGCGTTTCGTCTGGTGAGTGAGGTAGTCGGGGCCCACCGTATTAAAGGTGGCAACGCATTCGCAACCCTACGGCTGTTGCGAATGTCCATGGGCGGCGGTTATCACTTACCATCAGGTGAACCGCCAGCTCGTTTGCCACTTTATCACATAAAAAAAAAAGAATAAGCCTATATTATATCAAAAAATATTTTGTCAATATTAGGCAATTGAAATAGTTGTGTAGGTAAATTGCTGAAATGATAAAATGGTTTTAGTTTTTACTGAGCAAATTTATAAAAATAAACCATTGACCGACAGTGTGAGTAAATGTGATTTTCAAAAAACATGGCGTATTTTTACGTACTACAAAAGTGCTGTACTATGACGTGTTAACTTAATGATTTACCGCATTTTTGTAGCAAAGTACTTTTTTAACCATTTTTTTTTTGTTTAGAAAACTGTAAAGTTTCAAATCTTACCTGGCAAAAGTGCCTAGCGCACCTTTAGAACTATAGTGACCCATTTAAAAATATAAATTTCTTGGTAACGTAAAATAAAGATTGTAACTTAATATATTGATGTAACGTAAAATAAGTTTGGTAACGTTAAATAAAGCACTTATGAACAAAATCGGTGATTGTAGGGGAGTGAAAGAGACCATATACGTAGTGTAGTTTTCTACGCCAAAATCGGCCCTCGGTTTGATTAGAGTCGAATAAGGTAATCGTTTTTAAGTTGTTTCCTGACATTAAGTCCATCTTGCTCCGACGAAGCATTTCGCTTATAGATTATTAATTTTACTATGTAATATAATCAATTCAACATTATTATATCTTTACACTAGCGACCCGTCCCGGCTTCGCACGGGTGCAATGTATTATAGATATAAACCTTCCTCTTGAATTGTATTCAGTAAAAAAAACCGCATCAGATCCGTTGCGTAGTTTTAAAGATCTAAGCACACTACATAGGGACAGGTAGACAGCGGGATGACTTCATTTTATTCTATGTAGTTATGACTATCTTAAGAAATTTAACAATCTAAAGCTATTGTCTCGATACTCACACCGATGTGTGAATATATCATGTCACCATATTAATAATCCCAACGTATTTTAAACATTTTTACCTATCTTTAACCATATGGTCAATGTATTATTATGATAAGAAAAATCTTGTAGCCTTTAATGTTTTAAAAAATTACATGAAATATAAAATTAATGGAACAAAAGTATTGTTTTATTATAAACTACTATATACAAAAAAAATAACGCACAGAAAGGAGTGGAAAGCTCTGATATTCTTTATGTCAGCGTGATTCGAACATTTTTCCTGGGTCACTTGTGGAGCCTGGTTTTTTGCCAAAATGGTGTGGTTGGCAGTACGGGCTTCTACGGTTGTCATCTAGCAACATTTAGAATGGTAGGCGATAGTGGTTATGGAGATATTGGTGGATGCAATTATCATACAAATATAATTGTTTATCTATGATTGGTATAAAGTATTTGAAATGAAAGAACGTTCTATATGAACCGTTATATAGCAATAATAAAAGACAAAACTAGGAAAATAATATAGAGAAACGTTTCTGTTTATTTATTTAAAACATTAGTGGATACCTTGTTCATTTATTTACTAATTTGTAATTTGGCAAAAGTAAATTTTTCTGCATTAACAAAAAATTGTTTATGTAGTCTGGTTTAACGTTAATCATTTAAATTTTATATAAGCACTAATTACTAAATTGTGTAAGAAAGTTTAGAGAATGATTTTATGCACATATCAGGGATACTTGGCTTGGCGCCGATTCCAAAAATTGTTATTGAATTTAGTTTTAGTATAAACTGATTAGTGGTAATAGAGTTCTTTGAAGTTGGTTCTTTTTTTTTTTAAACTTTTTTTTTTATATTTCAGTGATTTAAACAAAGATCCTCCCTAGCAAAGACCTCCCGCATAAGAAGACTATGTCAAAGTTAAACCGGGACTGAAAACGATTAAGCGATTAAGGAAGAAAATCTCAAAGGATTTCAAATGATAGGTCTAACCAGCGTTAAAATTGCGATTGTTAAAAAAAGATCCTGTATGTTACGTATGTTTGACGAAAATTACAATGATCGTCCTAGTTTAATTCGTACTGGCTTGGCTATTAGTTTTTTTTTATTTTATTTAGAACTGGCCAGCATTTGACTGCCATCCCACCTGATGGTAAGTGGCGATGCAGCCTTTGATGGTAAGCGCGTTAGCTCAGTAAAAACCTATTCACTCTTGCTTTGAAGACGCCTACGTTGTAATCGGACGGAAAGACGAACGCCGGCAGGTTGTTCCATTCATTAGCTGTACGGATAATGAATGATGAGGCAAATCGCTTTGTTTGTTGTTATCGCTTAGTTTGTTTACAAAGATTACCAATCGCGTTGGCGAATTGACAACGGCTCAACATGAATTGCTCTGCGAATATCAAGGAATACTGTTGATTTTAGAGATGGAGTTCGATTTTATCCCACTGTCAGACAATGTAGACGCTTACAACGCGCACATGATAGCAAAGAGCGGGAAGACATTATGGTGACTCCGTGGCGCAGTTGCCAAGGTATTGGCTTCGGCGTCGGGGTCGTGAGTTCGATTCCCACACGGGACAACTATTTGTGTGGCCCACTGATAGTTGTTTCGCATCTGGGTGTTTGTCCGCGTGAAATTTATGTTTGTAAGGGAAATGTTTAAAAAAAAGAAGTAAAATAA